GTGTCCGACGAGTATTTATAATTATTTTTATGCGACGTAGTATTATTGTGAACATCCATCATCAACCCGACTGCTCTCTCTCTTTCTTTCTCTCTTTCAATAATCAAGTAAACCATCGTAGGCCAAGGACACTCCGTATAATGTGTACACAAATACTTTACAACAGTAAATCTAACCAGTAGGTTATAGCGATTGCTATACGTATACACCAAAAGTGTATCATTAATGGGTATACCTTAGATTTAGCTGCGCGGTGTTAAGTAAAAAAAAGCTGTCCTAGGATATAATGAGGACGGGTGCAGCCGCTGTTATTGGGAATCTAAAAATATTTAAAAGAGCAATAAAGGTAAAAGGGTTTAAAAATTTTCTCATCTATTGTTTCTAACTTATTAAAAATAATTTTTCAACGCTAAAAAAACCGATTATTACAAAATAATTTTCTTCAAAAATATTCGAAAAATGTTACATTATCGACATTGTTGTTAAAAGTATATTGTATTATACATTACATTATTGTATCTTTAATAAAAAAAAAAAAATTAAAAAAAATTAAAAAAAAACGTCGCGTTTACTGGACGTGGTGCAGTAATTTTTATATTCATCCGTTCGGAGTAAGTACGTACATAATATTATTATAGGATTGGTATGATATTATAATATTTGGCCATCAAGCCGAGACGATGACGACGACGACGCTACGTATATAATAATATTACGTCTGGCATCACCGTCGGATCTGCATCTAAATTATAATAATTATATAATATGCGTGCGTACGGATAATTTGCACATTGTGAAAAAAAAAAAGCTGATATTGCTGACGGGTGTGCCGCAGTTGTAAACGATAATTCGGTAAGGAAGGATATCTATATAGTGTATTATTATTCAATTAACATCAGCTGTACGCAACGATAAATATTATTGTAAACGAAAAAACGATTCGGAGCGAAGTTCGGCTAAACATATTATACGGTTTGAAATGACTATCGGTTTCCCCTGCGATTTTCACAATAATTTGAAATTTGAACGCTTAAAAGAGAAAACATTACGCTCGACTTTATTTGCCACTTACGATAAACCACTGGTACAATGCTTGGTCAAAATAATTGTATCCATACGGAATTAACGTACTTACTTATAAATAGCTCACAAATTGCCAAAATGTTTGGAAAATTTGATGGCATCTAGAAAAGGCTGATATATTCTGTATATTAAAAAATGACTGAAATTATTCAGAAATGAAATATTTTGTATATTCAGCTGTAATTAATATCAGGTTAATTAAAACAAAGAAACAAAATCGAAAATAATGAAACCGTTATTGACGTACATTTCACCGGGTTTTTATTTTTCAATCATTATTAAAACTAGAAACAAAATCAAACTTCCGACGCACTAACTATGGACAACATTTTATATTAAAAAAGATGCTACGCATAAAATTCGGAGCAAGATTTCTGGTGTACGAACTCAAAAACCGAGAAAAATATAATTCCTATATGTATTCGAATAATTATTGTAATATTGTAATATTTTTAGTAATTAATATGTCTGTAAATACCTATAAAAAATCGCCAAAATTATTTTGAAAATATTACCGCGTCTAGAATGGACCGATACGTAAGTATTCGGTGATTGTTTCGGGTGTCTACAATTACTTTTAATTGTATTACAAGAAAAAATTATACGGACATACTTCGCACGATGGATGAGCTACTGTTGTAGATGAGACGTTAAAAAGGTCGGATACAGAGGGGAATTTAATGTTATCTGTACGCAACGATTAATCATTGCTGACGAAAAACGATTCTGAGCGGAATTCGGTTACACGTATTTTGTAATATTTACGATTTAAAAATAATTAATTTCGTAGGTACATTTTCCCGCTTTTCCTATGTTTTTTTTCCGTTTATTGGGAAAATCAAACAACGATCTCCTTAAAGTACCACTTTAGTCATATTTCCTGTCAGGAAAAGTGCTATACTTGAAAATCATAGCAAAATTGTTGGTAGAAAAGTTGTCCACAAGAAAAAAAGTAAAACTATTACATTTCTCGCTCCGCTCAGAATCTAAAACGAAATTGAAAATAATAAAAACCAGCACGTGAATAGCAAAACCGATATTTTCATGTTTGGAAGAGGGAGAGTATACAGAATTTTATTTTACTTGTACAAAATTATACGAAAAAATTTACATAATACTGTGTAGGTTTGGTATTAAAATTCAAAAGTGACAGTGCTGACAAAACGGAGTTCAAAAATCGTTATTACATTCTGAAGATTATGTATTACGTGAATATTTCTATTTCCCGACGTTGTTTCCCGGTTTTCTCCGATTATTAATAAATAAATAAAAAGGATAAAGGAACGTCAGCAAAAAAAATGACCTCCCCAACGCACAAACTAGACGGAATTTGCTACCAGAAACCCAACCCTGATGTTGATGGCCGGAGAAAGATTTCTGATAGAAAAGTTGTCAGCCCTGCGCGCACACACAGACACACAGATACTTCATAGAAAAACCAATGCATTACTCGCATTCGCTAAGAATAGGAAAAAAATGGAAGTTACGCTCGAGATTTTTTTCTTTCCGCCGCATTTGATAGCATATAACTTTTAATATACGTACAGTGCACGTGCCTTTATGACGTCGAATATTATGCGGAGCGCGCTGCGTCGACTCGGAATAACGTCCTGAATTTGTCGCCTTTGCAAAATACTAAACAGACTACGTATATTACAACATTGAAGTTTAACGGTTCGATCGAGACGACTCTGTTGTATTATTATATCGTCACAAATCGATCGTGTCTTCGTCGTCGTCGTATATACAGCAAATAGTAACCGTTAAACTGTATAGAAACGGCAATGTTATGTTATTATATTTTATATACAGAAACGCACAAGTGCACGATGCCGTAATGCGCGAAGGTAATAGATTATATTATTGCTTATGGTATAATAATTATTATGAAAATGAAATGCGAGTCGCACAATAGATAAGTTTTAGAGAACTAGTATGTTTCGCAAATAACGCGACAACTAATACGTTATTTGCCCATCTTACCGACGGTCTAATTTGCAGTACCGCAATATTATGTATAGATACCCGGGTAATTCAAATTTGATTACCAAACATGACCCGCGCGTAAAATAGGCGATTTACGCGTGTAGTTAGCTGCATTACCCGCGAGTTTTCTCTGCGTATGCAAAATAAATATAGGTAAAACGTAAAATCGACTATGTAGTGGATTAAAACTAGTTGGTTAATTTTTTCAGTCGAGCACGGTATCGAGGACGAGATCCGAATGGAGATTAATAGTCATCATTGCGCACTATCTAAAGGTGCGAGATGGTCGCGCTATATTGAAACCCTTAGAAATCCTAACCAAAAGTCCAAACACCAATTTGTATGCATTTTACTCCAAAAAAAGCGATTTTTGGACAAATTTTCATCCTTTATTAGATCCCCTTAGGGGTGAAATTTTCAAAAATCTTTCCTCACTGGATGCCTACAGTATGAAAGGTTGCTATTGTCAAAATTTCAAGTTCCTAACGCCAGAAGTTTAGGCTACACGCTGTGTGTACAATATTAATATACTATAAAGCCGTGTAATTTGATCATAAAAACGGGGTAGAGTAGATGGATAAAACTCACAAAAGACACGTCCCTGGTACTATTTCTATGATACGTATACAAAAGTGTGTCCTGTGGTTTTATTTTTGAGGTTTGTAGAGTTTTTTAAAACTAAAAAAACACCCTCTTCCCGCAACAAAACGATGACATTTATTATATTAAAATTCGGTCTGATTTCTATCACTTCAATATTTTCGGTCTAGGAGAAAAAAAGAGCTTAATAATAATTATAGTTAATGATTTTTTTGTAATTTGTTTTTTATAATTTCGTTTTAAATATGTTATACTGCGAATTAAAATATCTTAAGGTATTGTAAAGTACTTTTTGTTTGGCATAAAAAGGCATACCTATATTGATATGTAATTTTCGCGCCTCGTAACAATTTTCATTTTGTAACTATACGAAATCGGCTCAAGCCCTTTTTCCTTGCAGGGACTATAAATATATATACGTATACTATATTATACATTTAATAAAACCGAATCAACACCGTGCCAATGGTCTCTATTTTCAGGGGGGAAAATCGACAAACACGTAAAGTAATTGTATTTATGCAATAACTGCGCTCCGCGCGTATGAAAATAAAATACACAATTATAAATTTGAGTACCGCGTCGAGTACCGTTGAGTAGTTGAAAACAAAAACGCAAATACAATCATGGATAATATTATACGGATCGATTAGTGGCGCCAAACTTTTTATAACATATATTATTATCTGTATAGATTACACAGGTGCGACTCATCATCGCGTTTACATTAGATTTATAGGATAAACCGCAGCAGGTAAAATAACGCGTCCTTATCTGTACGACACCTTCGTTGTTTATTTGACTAAGTTAAAAATACGCATAGGTGAACCGTATTATATTATACATTCGTATAGCTAATAATAGAGAGCCTATATAATATTGTATACGGTAACGGAAAAGAAACGCTGGTGGTTTGTTGGTTGGGCTGTCCACGGTAGGTATAGTGACTAAAAAAACACGAAATATACGCGATATTGATATCTCGTAGTTACAGTATTTATTTTGGATTTTCAATAAAAACACACCACTGATAGTGGAATGTGTGAGCGTTTACAAACATAATTGCGCTGGCTTTTTGAAAAATTTCCGAGCACCACTGCTTTTACCTAAAACTTTATCGATACTTATACCTATATGTTAAACGTGATTTTTATTTTTTTGAATTGTAGACATTTATGGTGTTTTGTCTGGCCGCTACGGAAGTGGTTTTTCTTATTTATTTTTTTATAATAATGAAAAACAAAGGTATTACAATCGGACTGCCGCACCTATGCTCTCGTCTATTTATAAATACTAAATACGCTGTTATAATACGAACAAATGATAGATACCAAAAACTTAACGTCGAAAGCGTTTGGGTTTTGAGATTAAGTCCGCGGAACGCTGGACGTACGTCAAAACTATAGTATAAAATATTTATTACGCCGACCGGTCTTACAAAAATAACACTGACGTTATTGCTGGTTTGAAATAACTCAATCGAAAATACCGTTGGCAAACTAAATACACAAACAAATCAACCGTTGCTTCGTGGATACGGTCGTCGAAAAAGTTAACGAGGGCCCGGCAACCGAGTAAATAACACTAATGTGCGATCCGAACAAATAGGTAAGAATAATATTAATTACGAATATCGAATTTAAAGTTCAGTATATCTAATAGTATAGTTTATTGTTTTTTTTTTTTTTTTTAGCTTTTTGATTTTCTTGCACATTCATGAATGAAGTCCAATAATAAGGTCGACATAATATTTACTAACGCGATTTACAAGATGTTTGCCGCCGTGATTTCCCTGATGGAGGGCGCTCTTATAAAGACGTTCTTCATATTGATAACACTGTGTTGGCTGTGCGAGGAAAGAAAGAGCGTTGCCGTTGGTGTGGGAAACATGATCGTTGTAATAAGGTACGCGCGTATAACCGAAAAACCGTTTACTAATTCTTTTTTGTTCTTTTTAAAATGGCTAATCTTTGTCTTACTTCGAGTGAATCTATGCTAAAAGAGAATCACCTCGTCATCGCTACCCGCCGGCGAATAAAACCGACGATAGTGGTCTGCCTTTGCCGTCACTCGCAGGCTATTATATGTATACAAATGTACGTGAAAAATATCGTTACTCGTGTTCGCGACTGGCCTTGATTTTTATTCAATTTTAATAGCTCGGCGTAGGTACCTACGATTGTATTCTCTGATGAACGGCGAGTATAAATTCGCCCAATGTCGTCCAAAATTACAGCTAAATGTAGATGTAGTTGATGTTATACGGATATTTTGTATTATATTAACTCTCTAGGTATAAAATACAAATTTTGAATTGATATCTACTGACCGGTTCATCATCGCTCGACGCGAACCGCCGAAGTGTCTAGAAACTCGAAATTTAGCACGGAGATTTATTATATTTCGTACAACGATAATAATATATAAGCAACTGTATACTCTATATTATAGAAACAATAAAGGATTTTTAAAAATTCGACCATCGATGACCGGCGCTCGCACTTAAATTGTATTCCTTAAAATACAGAAATTGCGATTTAGTTTTTTTTTTGTTTACTTTTGGATTAAATTATTTATGCATATGGGAAAAAAGCTGTATTACTTTCATTTTGTTTTATTTTTTAATTTGAGTGCCGTAAAATAATCCACGGGCACATGACTTGTCACTGGCAAGGCCGTTGCCTTCAAACCTTACACATATAAGCAAACACCTATGCATAAAGTTTTCTGTACAGAAAATTCGATCTCTATAGTCCGGAGTATACGTTGAAAATATCTGCTCGATTTGCGTCTTTACTAATTATACTTATGATAATATATTGGGTATGTTAGAAATTATTGTAATACCTATTAGATTTATGAGTTTTAAATTTAATTACAGAGACACTTGGAAAGTGATGGTTAAGGATATGTATACCACGTTTAAAAATGAGGATCCGGTCGTCGAAGAACCTGATTTAGTGGTTTCTTCCAGTGATCAATCTGATGATCAAACTTCGGGTTCTATGACAGCTGATTTCGTTTCACCGTCGTTCCCCCTTTACCACTTTCCATTTCCACAGGGAGAAGAAAATATCGCCCAGGAACTCGGTAAATATACATTCTAGGATCGACTTCTGTGTAAAATCTCTGACAAATATACACCTACCTCCTAATAAATTATTTTTGATTTTGTGTAGAACAAGTCATGAGAAACATAATGCAAGTTGTTGATTTGACAATAAAAAGGGTGCTACCCGTCGAAAATAGCCTAAGCTATTTGCAGTTTATTTTTTTTGATTTGAATTTAGGAAAGGTAATATTATCGATATTTGTTGTAAGTATTTCATTTGGATTTGAGTTTTTTTTTTTCATTTTATGTTGCAATTAAATTTATTTCCACTGCTTTTGACCAATATTTAATAATTTATCTTAAAAAAAAAAAATAAATAAATAAAATAAAATGTATGTTTTAATGAGACCATATAGTTATGTAATTTAAAAAAATTAAATTGTTTTAACATTTTACAGGAAATGTTTGAGTATGTTGATTTTCATATTCTTGATCAGTTGGATTGGTGGCATTATCGTATTGGCGATTCAGAATTGGAGATTGTTGGGAAACTTTATGGGGGATTAATAGTTCAGGGAATGAGACTGTAAGTGGTTTTCTGAAATTTTAGTATAAATAATTACACTTATCAGTTAGATTGTATAATATATGTTTTTTAGCGATTTTCCGGACTTTTGGAAGCCGATGATTAGAAAAGTTTTAAACCATTTGGAAAATAATGATATTCAATTTGTAAACTTTGCCCAATCCGCGTTCAATCAATTAAAAAAAGATTTACCGCAGGAATATCACATCTGATCTAGGTATGTTTAAAAAAAAAAAAAAATTACTGTTAACGTGTTATTTTATACTCTACAATTTCTTTGAATAATTAATCGAATTAATATCAGATTTAAAAATAAAGTAAATAACAATAGAGTAGGCAATGGAAAAGCCAATAGGTATTCCAAAGTATCATTTTCGTATCAGTGACTCGCGGTACTTACAAAACTCAAACATGTATTACTTATCGATCGTTATTACCACATTGTGTTCTTAACATATGGTAGTAGGTAATACATGAATTATAGAAGAAAACTGTGAGATTTTAGCACGGTGAAATGATTCTCGTGATTATCTCTTACTAATATATTATACTTTGCTACTGCGAAATATGCGTCTCGGGAGGCTGCATACGTTGTTCTTGTGAATTTTTACGGTTAGTTACCAAACATATCATATACCTATTTAATAACGTTACTACAGATAGGTAGTTAACAATAGATTATAAAATGTCAAAAATAAAATAAACTTATCCATAAATAAATAACTATTTTGCGTTAGCGAAAATATAAGCATATTGTCACACAAAAACATTATTATAACCAAACGTACCTATTATTTAATCTATCTACTTATATTTTCAGGAAATGATCGATAAGCCACGGATAAACACAGTACGAAGAAAGAAGCCTATTGTCCTACCGCCCCATGCTTATAGCTATGAGTAGATTTGTGAAATAACCTTTATCCGTTAATTTTCATTAAATTATCATTTGTTCGTTTAATTACTTTGTTACATTTTTTTTTTATACACTTTTGCTACCACAGTTAAAATTGAAATCACGAGTACCTTTATTATGTTCTTTTTTTTTTTATTATTGTTTTTGTATATTTTGATTAATTTGTTTGTTACCTTATGCTTTTATTATTAAACCTTGTTAAATATCTATTCATACATTGAAATTCGGAAACGTTTTGATTGATTCAAATACTAAAATAATGCTAAAAAGTAGGATTCATAAAGCTACAATATAACCGCTACATAATATTGACGTTGACGTGAAAAAACCTCATATGTGCTAAAACCTGATTTTTCAGGAAACGCGAAAAACGTTTAAAAAAAAAAAAATAAAAAATCGTCAATGATTGACCAAAATAAATTTTAACCATAAACTATTTGTTCTGGAAAAATATTGAAGTAAGAAACTTAATAGTTATGGATAATATTATACTGTATAAGTTGTCAATATTTCATCACACGAGCGGTTTTGTTAGTTAAAATTGTTTATCAAAATCACACAGGAAGTTTTTCAACGTCACACAGGTTTCCAATGTTACATAGGGGAGGTATTTCTTACTTTTGTACTCCATAATCTATTATAACATCTATTATTTTATAATTTATGTTACTTAATCATTGCTATACGTTGTGATTTGAAATATTGGACTTGTATATCTAATAATATAATTATATATACATAATATAATAACAATGTCCGATAGCAAGTCTCGATGTAGAACGTGTGTTTTCACAATTTACGCACATATTGAGTGATGGAAACAGAAATTTTACAGAAAAGAACTTGGAGTTGCACGTGATAATAGATTTTAATCAAATATTCTAAATGTCTACTGTTTATACGAAATAGCGATAAACATAAAATTTGAAGTACTTGTAATGAAAAATTTGTTATAATATAATTATTAATTACGTAAAAAAATTTGTTTTTCCGGGATTTTACTGCGTTTTTCGCCATTTTTAATTGCACGCGTTTAAGGTGTTGGCTGCTCTTTTAACCCGGTTGTTTAGTCGTAATACTACGCGATTCGGCGGGCGGAAATAAAACGACGGCGCCGCGGCCGGTTCGCGAGTTAGGAGACGTACGGATAAACTTCCATTGAACAATTCGTGTGTTACGCTATGCCGTTATTGTAATGATATGTTCATTGACATAATATATTGCGTTACGTTTCGCTACCCGACACGTTGGAGCATAATATCGTAAACATTACACACATCTTACGCACAAACGCTACACCATTATTATTTTACACTCATACAATGTATACTAACCGTTATTGGTACACATTTTACTGTTTTAGAGTGTTTTGTATACTATTAATACGGACGTATTTGTGGAATGCATTTGATTTGTCCGATAAGTACACTATGCGCGTACGTACACTATTCCGGTGCGAGTATCGGAGTAAAATATCGCCGAAAAGACATTTTTTTTTTTTTACATAAATAGATAAATATTATAACATTCGAAATAGCCGGTCGTTCGGATTCCTAAAATATCAGTCTCGGTACTGGGCGTATTACGCATATTAATCATTATTATTATTATTATTATTATACTGGTGTCGGTTTCAAAAACCAATTATAACGTCCATTAAAACAATGTACCCATATACTAGTGTTCTTCAACCTTTTTACTGTCGCGACCCCCTAAATGAATATTTAATTTTTTAGCGACACTTAAATACATACTGTATACACGGCAACCCATAATTTTATATTTTTGACGACCCCCAAGGGTTCGCGGCTCCCAGGTTGAGAAACACTGAGTCCTATACGACCGGGATTGGACCGGTGCCTTGTAAAATTAGCCCGAGAAATATATTTTCTTCTACCGGCTCCGAAAATCGAGTAGCGACCGCGTTTCGGTTTGTCACTTTCCGCCGCAAACACTTTCCCTCAAAAGCGTGTCTCCGCTGCAGACGGCTCGTTACGGTCAACCGCTATAGCCTACGCGTCATAAGCACAACTGTGTGGGGGGGAGGGACGCTACGGTGTCTTTAGCGCCCCCAAAAATATCCAATGTGTATTTTTTAGAGTATCAACTAAATATTTTATCCGTGTATTTCATAATTAATAAGCAGAACAAACGCAGTTTACCTATACAGACAATACGTGTGTGTTATAAAAAGTTATACGATACATTTCTATACACAAAATTGAAAATTAAACGTGTTGTTGTTTATCATTAGTGTCGTGTAAAGGGGAAATTGGGTTCTGTAATGTGTCTATAATTTTAGCACTCCTAAAATCGGCGGTCTAGTTGCAACTGCGTTACACGTCCTACTGCGGCATTGACAACGCGCGTGTGACAGGCCCCTGAAATAGCCTAATGCGATAATTCCTGACGGCTTGTTAAAGGCACCTCCTAAAAGCGTACAGCGACCTCAGGCAACTATTGTTGTCAGCCTTTCGATCACTGGTTTACAGCTTAACAGGACGTAATACCCGCGTCTACTGTCTCAGTCCAACTACCGGGTAACACGCAAAAACAACGCGCGCACAGAATAAGTAAAACTAGCTGAATTTTGATTTTATAGTAAAAGTACCTATTACAGAAAACAATATTTCGGAGGAAATGTCAAAGGTGTTTTTCGAATTATAGACTATTAGAAAAGTTACAGTAATTCAAAAAAACAAACAAAAAAAAGTTTTTGTATCTTTAACGTCGAACCGTATACTTCGAACAACGCAAAAACCCTACGTGACATTCGCGCCAAAATATTGTTCTCTATAAATCCCACAATAGTCGGTACTTTTACTCTGAAATCGAAATGAAGCTAGTTTTACTTATTCTGCGCGTGCGTCGTTTTTGCTTGTTACCCGGTAGTTGGACCGAGACAGTAGACGCGGGTATAACGTCCTCTTAACGGAACAATGGTAACCGCAATATCTCGCGTCGTGTTTAGACACGTTACGTCATCCGTTCCGGTTATTCACATACGCCGCCCGACCACGGCGGGTTCGCCAGACTCGTTTTTATCGCGGGCCTACCGGGGGGGGGGCTTGGTCCTGCGACCCTACGATTACCGCGTGTAAGTATCAATAACATTAAAATCCTGACCGTATCGGTTAGGAAAACGCGAATTTATCCGATAATATTGTAACTCGACCTTGAACATAATTAATTAATTTTCATAAATATTGATGCGGCAGTAATAGTAGAGCGCGGTGTCAATAATTACAATACATTCTATCGACGCGTCGCGACGAAAACGCGATAAATCAATCGGAAATTTCGGACTGCTGACGATTGTAAAAACCGATATCGTGAAATATACGAATACCAATTCGACCGACCGAAAACCCGTTTGTTTGAACTCGCGCGTTATTTTTGTCGTCCGCTGCTTTTTTATAACAACACATACATAATCTTTTTTGGCAAGTTATATTTTATGTTTCAATATAATCGCCGAAAAGAGGCAGATAAAAAAATGACTAGGTTATTTTAATGGAAAACAACTTTGGGAGAGAGAGAGACAGACAGAGAAAAACAGCATATAAATTGTTCAAACACTACCAGGCTAGCTGTTGTGCAGAGTTGCCAATCGCAACGCCGAGGTTATTGACCTCAATACCATTGTCGGGAGAATCGAGAATTTTACTTTTATAACGAACCAACAAAAAAGTAATAATAATACAAATTATAAACCTTTTCATGTTTCAATTAAACTCGAAACAAATTAATTTAGAAACAATATATCGATCATTATCTTGTAGAAAAAAAAAAACTATTCAAACACTACAACGCAGTAGCTGCTAGAATAATACCTAAAAAGATATTATATTAAACAATATCGCAAAGCCATTATTGAATAGTTATTTTTTTTTTTTTTTAATATCTTTTGGTATCGAACGATATTATAATATATTATCCATTTTTTTTCCGATAAATTTCATCGCGGTCCTAAATCGTGTATAATGGGTGCGGTATATTGTAGTCGCTAGATATTTTTTAATTTTTTTTGTGCAAATTATTATACTCGGGGAGACCTTGCTATATGTTTGTTTAACCTTGCTAGTTTCGGTCGCGTTCCTATACAATATTATCATTATATACCAGTGACGGCACCTACAGAAAATATGGCGGGGAAGCGGACGCGACGGGACGAAATACCATCGTACCAGACCAAATCATCAAATGGGGCAAACCAAATTTTAGAGGGACATTAAAAAAAAAACAATATCAACTACGTATACGCATTTATTACTCGTTGGGGGGGAAGGCAAAAATTAGGTCTAGGGGGACAATGCCCCGTGACTTCGAGTCTGCATCGCACAGACTGTACATTAGGTATGTTATTCGAAAAGAGATGATACTACTGAGGACGGGTGCGCCACTACGGCCTGCGGGAAGTCGGGAATTTGTATCTGAACGCAACGATTAATCCAACGATTATTAGTAGCCCACGAAATACGAGTCTAACTGAAGTTCGGTTTTCAGGGGTTTTGGAACGTCGTGATTGCTATGATTTTCGTCGAAATTTTAAAAAAAAGAAAACGTATAAAAAAAATCACTACGTAAGCTCGACGTTTTTTTTTATTGACCACTTCGAGTACTGCAACTTACCGTCGTGTAAAATGTACATTTTACCACACAATAAACAATTAAAAAAAAAAAATGTCAAATGTCGTTACAAACTAAAAAGATCAAAAATTACCGAAATCTTTTGGTAATTTTACCCGCACGTCTATAAAAAGTATTTTGTGAAAATTTAAATTATTTTTAGACAACAATGTCATTAACAATGAAATTACTGTTATTGCTTGAAATTTGTCCGTTTTTCCTATACGTTATTCCTTATCTCCGACTATTGATAAAACTACAAAGAAAATTGGAGAAAATTACCTCGTCTCCGACGCACCGACTAAATCCGAAATGCTACAAAAAAGCTGTCTTGTTGTTTTTTAAGTAGAATAAGATTTCTGGTAGAAAAGTTGTTCGGACACAAAACCAAAATAAAAAAGCTGTCCTAGGATAATGAGAACGAGTACAACCACTGTTGTAGGTGGGGAGTTAGGAAATTAGGAAAGTTAGGTGGGAAGGTAGGATACAGATGGGAATTTAATGTATATCTGTAAACAACGGTTAATAATTATTAACGAAAAAACGATTGTGACCGAAGTTCGGTTGTACGTGTTTTGAAAGACCGTGTTTTGAATATTGACGTTTAAAAAATAATCCATTTCATAGGTAAATGTTCCCGTTTTTTCTCATTTATTGGGAAAATTTCTTGGAAAATTCAAAAAAAAATGACCCTCATATACAACCCCAGTCAGATTTCCTTTCAGAAAAAGTACTACACTTGTAAATCGGAGTAATTTCTGGTAGAAAAGTTGTTCGCAGATAAAAAAAAAATAAATAAATAAACAAACATTTTTGTAAAATCATAGAACCTTCTTCACTCCACTCAGAAATCTTAAACAACCCATCACAATAAAACATAATCTAAACGTTGTACCTTATACCTATTATAATAATGAAAGAACCGCCTCAAACGATATTTTCAATCCGAATAAGCGGAGGTATAATATGCGAAATATGCAAGTATAATATATTACTGCTGCACAGTATACACTCGGATACGAAGATGACGACGTGTCGACAACCTCCCGTATAGATAGGGCAATGACTTGTTTCTACACGGTAATAGCTGGTGTAGAGGTACTGCAAACCGGCGAAAAGTTACTGAAACTGAACTAGACCTACGACGATGACGGTCTCATGGTCATCCGACGCAACAGCGAATAATAATAATAATAATAATAATAATAATAATAATAATAATAATAATAATGATAACTAATTATATGGGTACATAACAATTGTACCCGTCTATTATAAAAATAAGAGATGGTAATATTGATAACATTATAATAATAATAATAATGTGTAGGTAGGTACAAAACATGGGCTGACGGGGCCCACTTATATCGCATTATAATAATATTATTGTAATGTTTTATTGGCCGTTGTAATACTGCACTGGAATATTATATAGCTGGTGTATATTATTATAATATTATTTAAATCGTGAGCAAATTGTTACGCGAGCGTGCGTACGCATTATAATATCATAGCCTCGAGATGAAAATCCGTAAATGAGAAAAACATTACAATAAAAATTATATTTTCGTTTTGAATATTAGGATCGTGTCAATCGTAATATGTATTCTATAATATAGATAACGCGGTCGCTTCGTAACGCGGGGTGATAAATAATTATCGAAAACGAAAAGAAAATACGTATGAATTCGGATTATATATTGTAATGTGGTTTTAATTTACAATTTAATTAAAAAAAAAAAAACAGATCATCACCGCCCGAGTATAAAATTCAAAATCTATATAATACGCGGATGTTGAAGGTATATTCCTCCCGTTTTAGCGCCCCTATATCAAATACTTCTGGATGTTATCCATTTAGACCGGGAAGTGTGAATTTATATGGGTTTATTATTAAATCCGGAGCAGTGGCGGATCCAGAGTTGAACTTTGGAAAATACTACTAAGTAAAATAACGAAAAAAAAAAAGAAAAAAAGAAGAGAGTCGATACTGGGGATGGGTGTAGCCGCTGTTGTAGGTGGAAAGCTTAGAAAGTAGGACACAAACGGTTATTTATTTTATATCAGTAAGCACCGATAAAACATTTCTAACTAATTTTTTGATTGGAGTAAGATTTTTGGTAGCGAATTTGTTCATGGACAGATAAAAAATAATAATAATAAAAATATATCATAGTACAATCAATGCATTCATCGCTCCACACCATTTGTCTTCCTTGAAAATTGTATATTATGTATGCGTTAAACAATTAGTTATTTGTCAAAGCAAAAACGTTTGTATAATCTATGGCCCAGGTCCCTGAGCCACCTCTCTGGATCCGCCACTGGTCTGGAGTCAATCGGACAAAGTCGGGGAACTACATTAAATTGCCCCCTTCTTTCCATCTCTTAAACTCATAGAGTACAATAGCAAAATACCTAATATTTGAATACGGTTATTCTTAAAAAAAAAAAAAAAGTCTTATGTAGTTTCATAATATTTCAACGTGCAAATACATTATGTAACCGGGTGGAAGGGTCATGGGAGCCAATATTTTAATTTTAATTTTAAGATAAAGTATTATATTAATATAATAATAAAATAGACAATAACGCCAATAAGAAATATAAGAATATTTAATTTCCTGAAAACGGCGAAAACGATAATAATTAATAAGCAACATAATCATACCTATACAGTAACGATTACACATCGAACGCGAGATTTCGCACTGAAATATTACAACGGTTATACAATCTGTAGACAACTGCGTAAATGCAAATAAAATATAATCGTGTACTACACACCTATTACGCGCAGATAACATAACGGATAAATACCTGCCATGTTACGATACATAATATTGTGACATTATAAATAAAAATTTAAAAAAAAAAAAAAAAAATCTTCTCACACGTCTTTATGATTATACTGCCGCTGCTACACGGGATTTTCGGCGGATAGAAAAAAAACCTATAGCGACAGTCGTCAGTGCGCAGTGTCAGCGAAATCGTAGCAACATACCTGCGTGTTTAGTCTGCGGGTCAAATGGCAAATGTCATTATATTGTATACAACACGCAATTATTTATACACATAGGTCTCGTATACATTTATAGAAAACGACATACGCAATATTCGCACGTTCAATCTATACCCGATACTACTACTGCGATCGTACTACAGAACATTATATTATCACGTTTTTTAGTACCTATATTGCAGTCGCATTATTATTGTTCCTATATCTATTCGGTTCCGGCCGGGAAGAAGGGTTCAAGTCGATCTCGTACGGTTTTCAATACGAGCGAATTGGATTTCGCGAACGTTGCTTAATAATGGCGCGATGGCATAATAATTGCTAAACGGCTAAATCGCTACATAATAGTATGACGCATGCCTTTTTTTTACGAAACGAAAAATGGATATAATATACTTATATCATAATATAACGACTAGGGACGTTTTAATATTTGACACAATATAGTACACATGCACTTTTTAGTATTTTTAGTATTTAGTGTGCTCCTGATTGCACGTGAAGCTAAGATTCAATTTATAAGACCCGTTGCATATTGTACAGTTTTCTGTGAATTTACAATATTATTCACGTACACCCGTGAATTCGTGTCACTTTACTTACTTAGTTATCTATTTTTATTCGTTAAAGATGATTTTCCTCATATCATAAAATAATAAATACGTAGATTAGATTAATTTAATAAACAACAACACACAGTATACCGTATAACTACTATTTTATGGGATATGAATAAACTGATCCTACGAATAAAAATTGAGAACTAAATAAGTGTGGACGTAAAATACACAAATATCCACGGGTATACGTGAAATAATATAATAAATTCACGAAAAATTATATAACACGTAACGGGTCTTATAACTAGTTTAATATTATGCTCAACAAAGAATAATTAATTATTCACATGAATTTGATTCCGATACGTATTAGCGTATTTTACTATTTATTATAATTCACGTACATTAACCGTACATGTTTTATTTTGTTACGTTCATGTGTTCGCGGTATCCGTGTACACTGTACACGCATGTTTGTATTCGCGTAAATTAATGAAACGCCTTAATTTAGACTGAAAAATAAAGAGGAAAACATAAGGCAAAATTGTACAACAAAAAAGATGACAAAAGCCCTTGGAACCGAAGATAGTAATATAGTGGCGAGAACAGTTTATATTGCAACCAGGTTTCTGTATACTAATCATACTGAAGCGCTGCGAGTAATGGTTTTACTACTATATATTTTTTTTTTTTTTATACATCTGTGAACATTTTTTTTTCCTTCTGTTCATAACTACTTTACCGGCAAATTTTACTCCGATTCTAGATTCTGAGTGGAGCGAGGACTGTATTGATTTTACTATGGTGTTTATTTTTTATTTTATTTTTTCGACAACTTTTCTATTACTAATTTTGTTCCAATTTGCAATTATAGCACTTTTTCTAAAAGGAAATCTGACTAGGAAAGTACTCTAAAGAGGTGATTTTTTGATTTTCCCAGGAGTTTTCCCGATAAATGAAAAAAACCGGCAAAAAGCATGGGAAAACCTAGAAAAACGTATAGGTAAAACGGGAAAATAGGTACAATATTAAATAAATAATATTAAAGAAAATGTTTAATGCATATGTAATTATTTTACCATAATGTGACATATACTTATATATATAATTGACAAAACAACACTATCGACCGAACTCCGCTCAGAATCTTTTTTTCGTTAGCAATGGTTAATCGTTGCGTACAAATATACATTCAATTTCAGTCTATACCCTACCTCATCAACTTTCCACCACCAATAGTGACTGCACTCATCCCCATTATTCTAGTACAGCATTTTAACTTTAGAAGTTAGCTTTGATTGCTATTTCTGATATGCTATTGGAAATAGCATTAGTGACTGTGTAGGAATCGACACGCATACATACCTATTATACGAAGTTGCAGGAAAAACGTACAATTCTCTATTGCCTATTACACAATCGTTTAGAAATTATAATAATATCAGTTTGTGTACACCTTGTCTCGGTAGTATGGTATATTATAGGTATATATTGTATGACATATAGCATTAATACGTTTTTTTTTTTTTTTTGAACACTGTCTAAGACCGAAATATTTTAAGAGTTCAACAACCGTTGTGTGCTACATGAAGATTTCAAAGATCCGCAACTATACAATATACGTATACCGCCAACAACGCGAACGATTACTTCCGGTAGTTTAGCCGTCTGAGCTGTTTTCATTAAATATAATAAAGTGATCGAATCGTTTATGAGAAAATGTATTACGTTCTCTTAATTATTGTTTGTTTTCGTTCAATAACAATATACAAAATGGGTACATAATATTTAATCAATTATTGAAACATAGGTAACCTAACCGGAATTATCATAATAATTCCTGTCGGTAAAATTATTCGACCAAACATTGTCAAATTAAAAATTTAGTTTTTTCGCACGGGTACTTATCGATTCCGTCACATGTACACACATTTTTACCTGCGGTCATTCTGTTTCCTTCTTAACTTTATTAAAAAATTCATCCAGGAAGTATTTATTTTCCCGATAAATTCGAACTGCAAGTGGAATCGATATCTTGTTGTTTTAAATTTAAATAAACCGGTGATTGCGGAATTCATACTGGGGAATCGATTTACCCTTTCGGCAAATATAAAAAGGTCCGACGGAATCGATGAACTGCTCTTTTGCAAACCATAAAGTCGTGACATTATCGGACACCGCGGGAGACGGTTAATAATAATATTTAGATTTCCATTCTGGTTACGATTGCGATTTGCTGCCGCGATCGAAAATTTCACAAAATTGACCGACGTACCTTTTATTTTAATATTATATAGTGTATTAGGGTCACGTGTAACCCGCTCTCCACAAATCCATACGATTCCATCGGTATCGTTTATTAAAAATCGTATAAAATATATTAATTTCCTAAACTAACGCAGTATCGTATCAAATACCTATTATACTGATTGCGGTACTCGATAAAACGAAAAACAAATTATACTTATGACAATTTTTAGCTATTTTAATACGTTTCGACGTTTTATGCGATTCGTAATTTTATTGAAAAAACCAAATAAACTTTTTCGGTTTTAATATTTTTTACGTGTCAACTCCAGTTTCCAAGTGTATACTATTATCGATATAGCATTATATATGGTACAATGTATCATAATGTAGTACGACTTAAACGACAATGAAAATGGTTTTGAACTATACGCTCTATGTCGAACACAGTTAGTAGTTATGATATTGAAAATGTTTAAAATTTCAAAACGTAATTAAATTACCTGTCGCATAAAAATAATAAATAATGAAAAATTATTACTCTACAACTCTCTAGAGTCTAGACTATTTTTAAAGTCCTTGAAATGTTGATATCAATTAGGATTTAAAAAATATACATATATAAGAGAGGTGTTTCCACAATTCCTTCTTTATTCTATACATTCTATACCTACCTTACAATGATGTTAACATATTATTAAGATTTTTTTAGTTTCAGTATACTTATATAACATACAGGGTGTATGTATAAGGTATAACATACATAAAGTTATGAGTTATGACACTATTAACACTTACAATATAAAAAAGTATAAATTATTAACTTTTTCGGTATTTGGTTTTTAGAAAATATTCAAACGCTATTATTATTATCGAGTGTATATCATATATTTAAAAAATTATAATCTAAATAAATAAAAATAATTGTATTGAACAAAAGTTATTTCAGGTGTCAGATTATCGTAAGACATCCTAAATATAATGTTATTCATATTTATTTTAAATTCTGAGTGAAGCGAAGGATAGGCTTTACAGTTGGTACATTAGAAAGGTGATTTTTTGAAATTTTAAAACAAAAACTAGTTCTTTAGATTAAACAAAATTAAAAATAAGGTAGTAATTGGTAACCGTTTTTATTTATTTTTTGTTATTGTTAAGTTTGTATTATTTCAATATTTTTTAAACAATCCGTCGTTGTCGGAAAAACGCACATTATTGAAAAAGCAATACTATGGATCGAGCTTCGTTCAGAATCGTTTCTCGTCAGCAATGATTGATCGTTGCGCACAGATATGAATTAAATTCGCTTCTAAATTACCCTACCTTCCCGAATTTTCACCCAATAACCGCATCCGTTCCTAGTATATCTACTTTGTTTACTTTTTTTTTTTTTTAATATTTTATTTTAACCCAACCTACGCGAATACTTTTTATTATTCTTAGACGTTATTATGGCCGAGGAGACATACGGGTGTTACTGCAGCGTGCTTGACGTATGCGCAGCTCTCGGAGTCTGGCAGAATCACGAATAAAGTGCGCCACGGAGGCGGCCGGGGGGGGCGTCGAGACAGCAATATTATACTATGGTACTGTGGAAAATCAATAGAACCGTCGTCGCCCGAGTAGGGTGAAGGGGGGGGGGTAGAGATGGCGTGCAAAAAACGTCCGAAGAGAGGAACAACGTTTAGACAAAAAACAGGTTTCTACGTTTCATTGTTACATAATATTTTTAAATGAATTATGTCCAACCAGAGTCATCGCATGTATTGATAGGCCGGCACGGCGAGACTCAGGCTCAGACCGTCAACGCTGCTCAGAAAAGGGTGCGAAATTCAGAACGTATACACACTTAACAGAAATGCAAAATTTTAACAAAAATTAACAGCGGCAGGTAGGCTATATAAACGAGGTAATTTCCACGAGGCCCTGGTCAAATTATAGCTCGGTGGTCTGATGTCAGTACATATTTTACTTACCTACCCACTGGTATTATTTGAAAACTTAGTAAAAACGTATATATGGTTAAGGTTAGGAAAGACACGTCACATTATATTCTTATTTCAGTACCTAAGTAGATTTTTATTGTTTCCTTTTCGTTAAAAGTATAAAGTTCAAATGCATAATAATGAAATCACTTTTCTAAATTAGTGTAATCACCTCTTACCTTCATCCATGAATCATGTAAAAACGTATTTAACTTCCGTTGGTTCAAGATTCTAGCTTCACCAGTGGTCCAAATTCAAATTTGAGAACAATTTTGTTTGATACGTATTTTATTGGATGGCCTGGATAGATTTTAATCTCTCGGCCTGAATTTGGTTCCCACTGCGCCCCGATCTGGCGGTTGATTCTTGAACGGCACTGTCAATTAGCCGTGTACGGCAATAATACACCGTCGGATGAGACGTGAAATACCCTATTCTTAAATTGAAACTGTCAGTCGTACGAAAAATAACACGGGGTTCATTACTCTTGTGGGCAATATCAACTGTTATATTTCGTCTAAAATCATATTTCTAATTTCAAATAATTTAAAATCCCACCGATTTTCGCCATTTTTGTAACTAGCTTCATGTCCCCCCCCCCGTTATGTAATCAAAATCAATATCGAAGTCCGACGCGCACTTTAGAAAGAAAATGTCCCCTCATCTTTCCGGTACGTTTTGATCAACGAAAGATCTCGCGGCGGACACCTTCGTAAAACGAAAAATTACAGAAAAACCGTTAATGAATTGTTAAGCCTGCAACTTTAAATAGTACAGGTTGTTGTGGAATTGTTGACGGGTTGTAAAAAACCGCAGACCCTTAAGCGCGTTCAATACGCGGGCAGTTAAACACGTGGGGTTGGGAGGGGGAGGGGGCACGCCGAGTGTTTAAATTGAATCTAAGCGAATCGTTACGTTGTATTATACGACTCGTTCGACTTTCGCCCACGTCCGTATTTCGCCGCACGTTCGCAAATGGCGTTCACACAACAACATAATATTATTATTGTAACGTCATAAACTCATAACGGTCGTAAGATAAAAATAATGGTAATGTTGTGCACGACCGGCCGGCCGGCCGTCCGTCGTCGTCGTCGTCGTATTATAGGCCGGTCCTTTCTCGGGACGTCATGTAATAGATGTGCGGCCCGGAGGTTAAGGTCACGAAACGTTTTTGTCGTAACCGTTGTAATAACGATAATATTTTACACTGTTCAGGTACAGAGGCGGTTTTAAACAGCGGAGCAAGACACAATAGACTGGTAACCGGCCGCCCACCATTGGAGGCCGTAGATTTCAATTTGCCCGTCCTCATGATGATGGTCCACGATTGAAATCCAAATTCGTACATCGATGTTAGCTAACGCTCAACAAACCGCCCACCCCCGCGTATACCACGGTGCACTGTACCGAAAATTGTACGCTCAAACGGCCTCTGATTAGGTATGCGTATAACATTAGAGCCCGTAGAAATATTTCGAGAGAGGAGGGGGAAGATTAAAATATTCTATACCTTATGCACTATACACAATAATTCGACAAGAAAACATATTTAAACGTGCAAAATTGATTGCCATATTAAAAGCTAGGGAGAACAAACGCCCCGCTTTCCCCCCCCCCTTCAGGTGCCTATGATATATAATAAGTGAGTATAATTTCAGTATGCGTCAGTTCATGTTTAAACTCGATTTAGCTAAGTTTCATATTGGAGGGCTATAATTTGTAGGAAAGTATTTTGTCGAAACTGATCAATATAATTTCATCATAAGTACTCCGTGACTGCATATTATCGTCATTAAAATTAAAATTAATTAATTAAAAATTATTTTCCGACAAAATACGTTTCCGACTAAATAAAATATTAAATAAAATATTATCTGACTATTTATTTTTCCGACATGATACGGTTCCTACAAAATATTTTTCCGAAAAAATACGGTTCCGACATAATATTTTCCAATATTTTACGCACCCTCTTTATGTCGAATTAAAAATCACGATAAAGTTATGATTATGTTGCACCGTTCGATATTTAAGAACATTTAGGTATATAATATATAATAATATAAGGAGCGCTTAAAGTCATTTTCGACATTTTGTTTTGTTACAATGTTTTCAGAAAAAGTATTACAACTTTCGAATAATTGTTTTAAAAAAATACCACCAGAAGAGAAAATTCCGCATTTTTTAACGCATGGCGTGAAAACAAGTGAACGTTTTTACTAACCGAACGATGTTTTCTCAGAAAACAAACACATCTAAACGCAAAAACGAATAGTTTCTTCACTACACCCAGAATACAAAAAACATCATATGAAGAGGTAGAAAGCCCTTAAACGATGTTTGCTTTACAAGTTACCTCCCCCCCCCAAAAAAAAACTATGGTCATATTTCTTTTCTCGACACACCAGAAGAAAAAAAAGAACCGGACATACTTTGCGCGATGGGTGGACCACTGTAGTAAGTGAGAAGTTGGGAAGATAGGATATAGAAAAAAATGTAATATGTATCTGTACGTAACGATTAAAATGTATTAACGAAAAACGATTCTGAGCGAAATTTGATTACACATGTTTTTAAAGGTCGTAATATTTACGATTTGAAAACAATACATTTTGTAAATTTTCCCGTTTTTCTTAGGTTTTTTTCCATTTATTATGAAAATACCCTGGAATATCAGAAAATAACATACTCAAAGTACTACCCCAGTCAAATTCCCTCTCAAAAAGTGTTACACTTGCAAAATTTCTGGTAAAGTGTTCACAAAAAAAAAATAATAATAAAATGAAAAATAAAATAAACACTATTGTAAAAACAGTTCATTCTTCGTTCCGCTTAGAATCTAAAATAGTTCAGCGCCACTGATAATATTGCTTATACGAGGACGCCTAATACCAACTGGATTGTTATTTCCGTCTTACAAACGCCACTGTATTTAGCTGAGTTGCAATAAACAGAACCAAATTCGCAGTGCTGCAATAATTATAGTTTTAATATGAGCGTGAAAATTGTCAAACTATCAGCAAACTTAAAGGGAAGAACATTATAGTTGTGTACGTTTACAGTTACGTTAATTTTTTGTCGATACTTTAAATTTTTAAGCGTAATAGAATCATATTTAAATTTTGATATTTTACACGCCCATGTTATCTCGTTTAAAATGTTTAAATTACTAAAACGATAATACGTAGGTACAAACAGATAATAATTCCTTTAAAAGCGATAATAATTCATTTCGTTCAAATATCGAAACTATAACAGCTCACATGCAACCACACAATTGGGTGGTCAAAAAATTACGACGATAATATAAAATATACATTACGTATACCGATTACGGTCAAATTTTGAACGCGGTAAAAGACGTGTGTAAATGCCATATGTAAATCCGTGATAAAACGTCAATTTTTTATATTTCGAAAAAATCAAAAGCATTGAGAGGATTTACAAGGATTATAACGCATAATTGACCGAACGAAATGCAATCGAATCGATAGTTTTTTTTTTTTATAAGCCCGGTTAATAATATTAGATTCTGAATGGATCGAAGAATGTATTGGTTTTACAATGACAGCATTTTTTCTGAAAGGAAATCTGACTGAGATGGTACTTTAGGGACGTCATTTTTTTAATTTTTCCAATAAATGGAAAAAAACCGGGAAAATAGATACAATATTAAACAAATATTATTAAAGAAAATATTTAACGCATATATGTAATTATTTTACCATAATGTCACATATATATTGTTGAAAATGTAACACTGTTAACCGGACTCTGATCAGAATCGTTCTTCGTTAGCAATGGTTAATCGTTGCGTACAGATAGACGTTAAATTTCCCGTCTACTATACCATTCCAGTATACCCCGTATATCATCCCGATTTCTCAACTACAACAGTGGCCCACCCGCGTGCGAACAGTGTCCGTCTTTTTTTATTGTTAGCTGAAACTTATTTCAGGTCGTTCTCTCGTTACGAAGAAAAAATAATAATAATCGTATTTTTAGAACGTATATTTTACCGCTATATTATATAATTTATGTATTTTTTTTTTTTTTTTAACTGCCGAGTCCTATACACGAGCTGAGCATTAATGCCATATTATTATTATTATTATTATTATAACGTGTACACTTACTCGAAAGCTCGGGCAAGGACAACGGGTAACGCGTGTTATAATGGACCGCACGTTACGTATAGGAAGTGACCGGGACCGATTGTCGTCCGTGAACAGACACGCGCGTTACCTATGTACCGTTTTTTTTTTTTCTATCATAATAAACTACTCTTATGCGACGCACACGAAACGACGTTTTCCGATATCCACGGTCCGTTTTTCGGAACGCCGAAAATAGATAAGACATTAAATTCGAACCGTCGGTTTTTACTTGTAATAATACCGGGGAAATTCGTGTATCTAAACTGTTCAGGCGCAGTAATAATAAAAATATATTATTATAAACAACCGAAACCGCCGGGTAAACAAAATCGTTACTCATTTTTTTACGACAATCCCGTTTGTATTTTTTGGTTAATACAGTGTCGTTTGTTGTTATATCGAGTGTCGTAATCTTTTACGCTTGTATAGATCGAGACATGTATAATAAGAAATTAAAAATTATTCATACTTAATACTAATACACTAGGTAAGTGCACATAATCCGGATCAACCATGGTTCGATCAAAAATCAGGATTACGACGGAGATTGGAAAAATGGTAAAAATCCATAAAACAAACCGAATTATTAATCAAATTAGGTCAACCTAACCGGACGGCCGTATTAATTTTGTATTGGCGGATTAACGGTTAAAATTATCAAAACCGTTTAGGGGTTAGATATAGGGTACAGGTTAGATATAGGGGTATAGGTTAGATTGTCTATAAAAACGAATTATAATATTCACAATCCGAATACAATAATATTATATTGTATTTGTAAAGTTTATCAAGCCATTATTTTAACTCGAATCAATAACAAAATCGATTTATCATCGGAAATTGGTAAACGGCCGTTCGATTCCGCATAGTTTATCATTATTAATGTTATTCGAATTAATGGACAAATCAAAATTGATACTCGTGGATATCCCTTTAATGTCCCTCGATATTGCTATAAATTTAGTAGAAATCGATTTCTACAATAACGGTAGACACGAATCGGTCTTGATTTCGTAATACCAAACAGTTATTAACTCCGAGTACGATCGCTATTCGAGTGTATTCACGCTAAGAGGTACCATTAAATATTTCGGTTGGATAACCGAAATGGAATTTTCGCGAAATTATAGAGAGTACCCAAATACACATTTTCAGACAAATTTCAAATTTTTAACGCTTTTGGTACGAGCATGCGCAATACGACTTATTTTTTTTTAATTGCAACACCATTTCTATAAATTCGGGTAAAGTGATTTTTTTTTAAAACAATTTTTGTGTGAAAAGTTTTTTCCAACTACAAAATTGGCAAAGTTACAGTATGTTGAAATTTAATATTTACGAATAATCTGTAATTAACGGAATTTTAACTATATTCAACTTCTATACTAAAATATCGAAATGATGATATCTCTGTTATTGTGAAATACCTGTTTATAAATAAATAAGACACAAATAAACACTTCAGTTGTTTTTATGCGGAAACATTTAAAAAATATTGTATAATGATGTCCAAGATTGAAAAAACAAATTACAAGTAGCATGTATAATAATTTGAGAGAAGACCAAATAAACGCTGCAACATCAAGAAAAATTTTAAACCGTTTAAAATCATGTTTGGAACACCAAGGCGGAAACTTTGAACAATTTATTTGATAAAACTATAGTTGCAAATAAATAAATCTTAATTTAAAATTCATAGTGTGTAAATTTGTATAATTTTCATTACCTTCAATTTATTTCGGTAGAATAAATGATAAAAATAAAAATAAATTACGAAAACAAAAAAGTGACACAAATGTATCTTATATCTATCTACAAACAGGTATTTCAAAATATCGGAGATATTTCGATTTTCAAGTACAAGTTGAACATAGTAAAAATTTCGTCAATAACAGATTATTCGTAAATATTAAATTTTAATATACTACAACTTTGTAATCAGAAAAAACTTTTTACACAAAAATTGTTTTAAAAAAAAAAAATACTCTATCCGAATCTGTAGGAAAAAAAAAATGGTGTTGCCATTTAAAAAAAATTGAGTTGTATTGCGCACGCGCGTACCAAGTGTTAAAAATTTGAAATTTATCTGAAAACGTGTATTTGGGTACTCCCTATCATTCCCTGAAAATTCCATTCCAATACTAGATCATCCAACTGAAATATTTAGTGGTGAACCTATCTTAGCGTGAACGCACTGTGTACTCGTACTAATGTATATTATATATATGTAGCTAATCAATTTAATACGTCGACAAATCGAAATCGTCTACGTCTCCAAATTGACTGCTCTTTAAAACATTATTATTAGGGCTCGGAAGTTATAGGAGTTGCACATTGTTTTGTATGGACTGAATTTATAGCAGACCACGTTAGAAATACTTTCTATACAATGCATATTTTCGTTAATTTTAAAGAAAAAGTGTATATTTCGTCGATTTTCCCATATTTTTATGCTTATTTAATATATTTTTTCATTCTTAACAAATTTATTTTAAATAATATTAAATTTAAAACTTAATATTATTTAACGTAATTATTTATTGTTATTTCTTACCATCTCAGTCTATTATTAATTTAACGAATATGTGAGAATCGTTTTCCGGATTATGTATGCTAAGTTTACGCAAAAAAAATTCGAAGAACTAGATTTAGCAGAAAAAGTTGATGAATTTTCTGAAAAATAAAATAAAATTGCTGTTTGCGTTCAACTAGTTACTATAATTGTAAAATTTAAGATTATACAATAAATCTTAAACAATTTTTTTTAAATACACATAATACGTGAATAAAAGTGTTTGATTATTAATAAAAATTAATGCTGTTCTCCCTCCTCCCTGAATTTTTACATCCGGGCGCCATTGTCTCTATACGAATGCGTCTGTGTTTTAATCAACAACAAAGTTTAAGTTTAATTTTAAAACAATAACAAAAAATCTACTTTTCATAATTTATACTCGGAGTCTGATGGGGTCTGATAAAACCTCCACTGCCTACAGGTACAATCCGATACATAATACGTGTTTAAATATCGATAATCGATATTTTTAAGTCAATAATATTCGACACCGTTTCATTGTTTTTACATAACGATATGTTTGACATTTCCCCCCCCCCACTAATCTCCCGCCTTTGGACAATTTGTTTACACTATTTCGATATGGTGAGGCAGCGCGTAATTAAGGATAGAATTTTGATTGGCTAGAACGTTTGCATTATCCTATCCATTTTTTATTATTATCAACGAGTTCAACACGGCACTGACAATTGTTTGACGACAAACAGTAAAAAGTAAAAATAAAATTAATAGTAATATTATTGAAACATAATAATAGGCATTGATTAAAATTTAATATAATACAATTAAATTAACCCGCTGATATTTAACCGTTTTGTTTCACGTCTTAATAGTAGTAATCATTGGAAAAAGGTAATTTTCGTATGATTTTTCGACCGTACGTGCGCGTATCCCACACACTATAATTAAATTATGTACTTAGATTATTGTCTACAAGAGTTTTATAAACGTATATATTTTGATTAGACTTACCTCCGGCGAGTTCGATTTTTATTTAGCCTAGTTTTGACGAGACAAATAAATTAATATAATACTCGTTCGACAGTTGAATTTTGGACAGCCCACAGGTGCTCGCGTATAATATACAGCTATGACATAGCCCTATTGTCTCTTCCTCGCCGCCGTCGTTACCTTTAACAATAAAAAAAAAAAAAAAAAACGCATATAAAAAGGGCTCGGAAATGACCCGAATCCATGCGAGTTTATAATTAACAAAACGATTATGTGTCGAGGAACTTGTGGTTAATTAAGGCTGTATAGGCTGTGCGTGCGTCCTCATTCTGATCACAATAGCAACGTTGATTTTTTTGTAAACAAATTTTATTGAATGTACCTATTAGGTATACTAATATTTATTGCATTATATATATATAAAAAAAAAAATGAATTCAAACAATATTTAAGTTGAGGTGAACAATTTACTTATTTACTTTGTTGTTCACGGAAAAAATAAAAAAAATATGGTCAAATTAATATTTTTGGCCATGAAACTATAAAAATACAATTCAAATTAATTAAATAATAATCAAAATCAGCATTAAGATCCTCATGTTAGGCGCATTACATGGTCCGCTTTATACTTGGATGGTTTTATGTATCCTAAATGTTGCAATTCATTCACGGCTCGTATAAACCGAGCTCTAATACAAAGAAAAACAATTAAAGAAAAATTAAATTTGTATTGTTTTGTTAATATTATTAATGAAGAAATGTATCGGTTTTTAAACATTGATTAATATCCATAAATACTTATCATTACACACTATACTATACTACATACCTATAAACAGTAAACACTATGTATTATTTTATATTTATATTTTTAAAATTTGTGTATAATATATTTTTACTGTTGATATTTTTTTGTTTTAGAATTTGGGTAAAACAAGGAAGCTTAAATTTTATCCGATAACTTTTAAACTCTAGTCAGAATCTACATAAGTTTCATTTTTAAAAATAAAAACCTATTAAACAGCGCTTATTAGATTGGCCAATGTAAAAATTAATCTATACTCTATGCATAAGTTTTTAAAACAAATGTGAAATCATAACATAAATCCTGGGCAATGAACACTTTGCAAAGACCCTTCAAAAATTCTGAGCATATAAAGGGAACTATTAGTTTCACTGCTTTTTTTTTTTTTTTTTTTGTACGTCTGCGAGTTACTTCTATAACCTACCAGAAATCTTCCTTCAATAGAAAAATGACAAAAAGTCTATTATATTGCATCTAAGATTAGTAAGTGCATTGGGGAGTTCATATTTTAATTGTCCAAGGGGTTTTCAAAAATAAATGAAAAATCTAGAAAAAACTAACAAATATTTATGCCAAACTGCGTTATAAAAATTCCATAAGTGAAGTTTTAATTTAAATACATACCGTGTTGAAATTAATATAAATATGAAAAAAAAGATCGACATACTGTACATGAAGGTGAGCCACTGTTGTAGATGAGAAGTTAAAAAGGTAGTTGAGGAGAAATTTAATGTAAATCTATACACAATGATTAACCATTGCTAACGAAAAAATGATTCTGATGAAGATGAATGAATGAAAAATAGATGTTAATTGATGTTTAATATTATCCGTATTTTCTTATTTTTTCCTATTTATTGGGAAAACTCCTGAGAAAATCAAAAAATGATCTCATTGTAATGTCACCCCAGTAAAATTTACTTTCAGAAAAAGTGCTATCATTGTAAATTGGAGGTGAATCGCTAGTAGAAACGTCGTCCAACGGAAAAAAAAAAGGCTGTAATATTTTATTTTTTTTTACTAATACCTACATTTTCTTTTAAAAATAATTATAAATATTATAACATAAAATTAAAGCCATTTTTTAATAAGCATGGATTAAAAGTTAAATTTTAAACCAATATAAATAGAAGAACTAAACTATGTTTAACAGTAAGAAACTACTAAGAAAACCAGTATACACAAACAATAAATACTAACTGTTACTGACAATAACCCGCTAAATACTACAAATCAACTAAAATAAAAAATTATGTTTTTAAATATAATTTAAAGGATACTGTAATACTGGGTCCACATTATTGTCATTATTTTCATCATCGTGATCAGGGCTGACTATTGAAATAAATTTCTAAAAATGAAAAACAAATATTATTAACAATGGGTAGAATAATATTTCAAAACAAACAGAATATACAAAAATATCATTAAACCTCACAATATTAATATGACAAATTTGGACTAGTTTCAATAGTTCACAAAAATGATTAACCAAATAATCATATTTAAAATTAATTTTAAACAAAGAATATGATTAAAAAATAAAATAATTAACTATGATTACCTGTAACCAATCATACATATTAATCTGATTGAATCTAGACTCTAAATGTAATTTGTACACTATACTTATATCTGGCATAGTTTTTAATATTTGCTCAGGAAATTCTAATTCACAGCAATCACACTATAAGCATAATATTTTAATTATTATGTGTAAGTGAGTTATCTTAAAATGTATTACATCAATATAATGTTGAGGGTTAACTAATGCTGTATATTGAGCAGCTCTGTCCTCTCCAACAATTTTGCGTTTGACCGATTGTATATCATCAAATATTAATAATTCATGTAAAGGCATGATAGATGGTGGAACAAGAAATTGCATTAATATTGTGTTTGTTAAATGGTCCAATGTTTGTGAACGAACTTTTTCAAATTCGGTCATTGGCTTGGTGTCTCCATGTTTTAGGTTATCAATTAGTTTCTAGTAAACACAAATAAGATAAATTATATAAAACTAAAAATAACATTAAAATTAGGAAACATCATACTCTTTTAAATTGAGATCTAGATACAGATGCTAAATTTGTTTTCTCATCTAAATCATTTTTTTTTTCAACAACAGCATTATTTAAACTGGATTCTTCAATACTTTTCACATAGGTTTGAATCAATTTGAGTGCAGTATCTGATCGTTCATTGTCTGTTAGTTCCTTTAAAACTTGACTTATCTAAATAAAGTACAAAATACAAAATAAATAATTATCTTAGGAAATATGAGATAAAATATTTAATATAACAAAATTACCTTATTCAATTTTATAAGTAAATCATCTTTAGATAAAAATTTTAATAATTGTAAACAAGTTTTGTATTCAGCACTTTCAATGACATGTTTTTTCATTGCAATAGAATACATTTCTCTGAGCTAAAATATTAACATTTTAGTAAAAAAAAAACAAACAAATAAAAATATAATATAAAGAATTTGAAAAAATTTCAATACTTGAGTGCCCAATGGTGAGTGTGGTAAATCTGCTACTAAAATTTTTAAAATTCTTAATCCAATATGAAAATCGCTTATGCAACCTTTCAGTTCTTTAACTAATTGTAGAAAAGTTCCCTGAAATATTAAGGAAAATAAAAATTGTAATAATTATTTAAAAATAACTTAAAATATATTACTTTCAAATTCTTATCAACTTTTAATTTGTAGTTAGTTGAACGCAATTTGGTAATTTCTTCTAATGTGTTTTTATCCAATAAATCAAATAAAGCACTTTGTGCTGACTCATGAGCAACACAAATACAATTAAGAGGTTTATGATATAAATGCTCTATGAGACAAAACTGAAAATAAATTATCTTAAGTATAATTGTATTTTAATTGTTTATAAATTAACTAAATTAAGTGATAAATATATCTACCTTAAGACTTTCTATAAATTGTTTAATAGAAAAATTATAGAATAAAAAAACTTCAGTTACATATTCCAAAATGTGGCCACCTAAATAAAACGAACAATCAGACTTCAAAAAAACCTAAATATTAAAAAAAAAAAAAAATAGATAAATAATAATAAGTTTACTAATTTCTAATAGCTATCTAATTTAAATTCTCAATATTCTTCCTAAATTGGATTTAAATATTTTAATAATATTTTATAAATATTAAATTAATAATAATAATTATTACCTGGTCCATGATATTATTTAAAAATACTACAGATGCTTCACTAATAAACATTCTAACATGTAGTTTAGTTACCACATGGTGAGGTAGAGTATTGTGCAAATTTGATATAGTAGTGGCAATGCCAATAGCCAACACAATTTGGATATTGTCAATGTAGGAACTATAAATATTTATACAAATATTTTAACCAATGTAAATACAAGTGATATCAAGATAAAAACCTTAAAAGGAGGAGAAAGTTTTGTAGCACATTTGGTGGACACATTTCATAATCTTTAATGAGAACTGCTACACGAGTACCCTTAGCTTGTTTCTCAAACCAAGCAACTAACGCAGACATTGTACATTCAGATCGTTTAACAACAGATCTTTCCTTTATGCTTTCATCAGATTCATCGAGCTAAAATTCAAATTAATTTCAAAGTAATATATTTATAAATTGTTTATTAAAGAAAGAAAATAATATCTCACATCTGATTCATCGTCATTTGAATTTAATATCTGTGACACCATATTTGTAACTGCAGCTTTAACACTAATGAAGTGCTCGGAAAATAATGTTGCGACATATACAGGAGTTTCAGATTTGTTTAAATTGGTGGCTAATAAATCAAATAATGACTTGTGATCAGGTAAATTCACTCCTAATCCAATTGAAAATAATAATAAAAAAAAATTATTTACACAGATAATTAATTGACATAATATTTATAATACTGAACCTGTAAGTAAACATGCAGTTGGAAGATGTCGAGTTGCTGTTGTCAAAAACTCTACAGTATCTGATATAAATTTTGAATATATTGACGTATTTAAACTCTGTAATACATAATAACACATATTATCAATTCGTTTTTGCATAATCCATTGGATTATAGTTACTAACATCGAGATCTGATTTTACATTTGACCAAATATCTCTGTATGTCGTGAGCCATAACTCATTTTCATCGGAATCCAAACTTTTTTTTTCTTTTTTCCCCTTAAACACAAAACATCCCTGAAAAAGAAAAATATTTGATTATTTTTTCGAAATTGAAAATTAATCTTAGAATATTATAAAATGTTTACAGATATGTAGATATAAGTTAATTTACTATATAAGTATATCCATATTAGATGTATGCTCGTTAGACTATTAGGTATACAAAAAATTGGTAACATAATTTAAATAAAACAAATAAAAGTTTAAAATAATTTAATAATAACATCTTTAATAAAAACAAAACATAATATTATACACAAACAATATAATGGATAAATTTCAAAAAAAAAATGCTTAAATATGCAGTGTGTATTCAATTTCATATTTCATATAACGAATACATGGAACACAGTTAACTCTTTTTATCCAAAATCGATTACAGAATTGTAAATAAATTCAATATTATTGTTGGACATTTTTAATTTTGAACAGAATCTAAAATAACTATAAATTATTAAAATTAAATAACTGTAGAGATAATATGCTGGAAATTTGACACAATTTGCTCGACTCATTATATTAAATTGTGAATGGTGGTGATATAATATTTACAAACAAATAAGTCGAATTCCCTACAAATACACCAGAATTTAAATTTAAATACTTTCTTGCACAGCATATGTGACGTTAAAAAAATCAAAATACAATTTGGTTGTATCAGGCACCACTAAAGACGAATTAATTAGGTATGTACAAAGTAACTGTATAAATTATTATAAGAACTTTTACTATTCAGAAAAATCTAAACCAAAACAAAAAATACATACATACATAATTGCATAGTTAATCCAACCAGTATCAATGTTTAGTGTACTTTTTGTTACCATTTTAATGATCAATGCAACACAAATACTTACTTTCGAGACGGAAACTGTGGGCTCCATAGCAAATAGTAAATGTTTTATATTTATTATAATTTTAATTTTAATTTGTTAAAATATAATATATATTTATTGAATTAGATTTAAGTTCATTTTACTAATAACTGGCGAAAACAAAATAACACGATTGAATCAAATATTATAGAACGCGCCAATGAATATAATAACGGGCGATATTATACAGGTCGATAAATTGTGGTACAAGAAGGTTGCAACAGGTAAAAGCGTGAGTGATTGACGACTGACGATTCGAATCAAATTTAATTTTGTTTTTAATGAGATACAGCGGGCACAGATATCTGTTTATAGTAAACAAACGAAATCCGCGGTAAAATAATTCGATAACCAAGCCACACGCATAGATAAGAACGTGGTTAGGTCACATGGGCATTACGCGCGTTTTTTAAAAACAATAAAATAAAGTATACACGTTATTCAAATGTGTTTTATAATTTTTTAATTTAATTATTATTACAACATTGCTATTACTATTGTTAGATTTTTTTTTTTTACAAATTGTCAATATTTTTAGATTAATTTTATTCACAACAGTGATCAAATCGAACATGCATAATAATTATCGTCTTTTTATTTTCGTAAACAAGTCCTTTCAAAATTCGGAGCGCGGCGATTATATTATGTCTTTTTTTTCATTTATACTAAAATCTCACCGTTTTGTTTTAGATAGATATAGTTGTACAAGTGTAGTGTAGTAAATTGTATTATCGTTACGTATTCGATTATCTATTTATTGTTTTATAAAAAAAACATGCATGTGATGCGAAACAAGTGGAGGGAAATACACGATGGCGGTTTTTTTTCTAAAACTGTTTTGGTCGCGAGTGACAGTGAAAGGAAAACAAAAAATTCATAAACGATTACCAAGACATTAAATTTGAATGCAATACGACGCGCTATAATTTTTATAATAGGAAATGGGATCGCGTTATTATTATTGTTTTAAATCTAACAAACGACACTAAATATTTGATTTGAGACGGCGAGGGAGGGACATTAGAGAAAAAAAAAAAAAACTATTCAGAGACCCATACGAATGGGCGGGTGTAACACGGTATCGGCACAGACGCGCAGCAAGCCGCCCCCACCGTTCGTAAGGTTTTACGTAGTTTTTTTTTTTTTTCTCGCCATAATTGGAACAGTCAAAATAACGACGACCGGCGAAACGCGGTGGATTCGTCCCCAAAACAGAGCGTACGGTTAATGTCGTGCAATATATTTCTACGGACTTCGTGATGTCTGGCGGAACGTGGTTGCTTACATCGTCCCCAAAACAGAGCGTACGGTTAATGTCGTGCAATATATTTCTACGGACTTCGTAATGTCTGAAAGAACGTAGATACCGACATAAAACTCATCATCCCGACTTTGCATTATTTCTTTGGAAATCATGAATACCAGCACTCGGCGTTCTGTTCCGCATTACTCCGAACGTGATCGTCCGTGTAATTCGTGGTGAAAATCAGCCAACACCGGAAGACGGTTTAGCGTACAGCACTGTAGCAAGTCAACGGAATAATACGGCGGTACAAAAACGAACACGTCCGACTATCCGAACACAACCGCACCGTGTGCGCCACTCCGGTGTCCAAAACATGACACTCCTTGACGCCAATGATATGCGTAACATTTATGTAACGCGAGGGAAAATTTGACTCCGGCGACAAAAGTTTTTCAGCTCACGGGCCACCCGAAGGTTTTTTTTCTAAAATTATATTGGTCGTGAATAACAAATAAATGTACATTACATTTCTCCTCTACTGCCCTCTCAAGTTCTCACCTACAACAGCGGTCCACCCACGTGCGCGGTTGCCCGGCTATTTAAAATTTTTTCATGAATAAATGGTTAGGTAAATTAACGGACAGATCAGTGTATTTTTTTTATTTCTTCCACAGTTTATACGTTCAAACGAAACTTTCAGAAATAGAACTACCAATATGTATAACAAACAGTATACAAGACACAACTATATAATAACGGTAGGGACTTGTATAGTTAGCTGTATTTCAAGCGACAATACAAAGGCGTATTTGTGATTGTAAACGCACCATAACAGCAATGGTTATCTTCACGTATACTTATTAATTTTAGGTTTTCGAAAAATTTAGATAAAAACCTATAACTAATTAAGTTTTCGTTTTTGTAATACATGATGTACACGTCCGTCAACATGTTTCTCCTGTGAAGAGCGTTATTGTATGCGTATAATTCATAAACAGTTTCATTTGGTCTGTGTTTCATAGTTGTATTTGTGCAACAATTCGCGTTTTTGATTGCATTTCGTATAAATGTTGTAATTGTAAATAATAATACTAATTAAAATTGTATCGAATGCAAAAATGCTTTACAAAACACCCAAAACGCTGTAAAATATTTTTTTCATCGACTTTAATCATATCAAACCGGGAATATGATAAAATTATATCAATGATATCACTGATAACAGTGATGCGTTGGTGTGTTTGCACGACTCTGTCCGACACTACACGACACGCACGGTGTAGAGAGGATCTTCTGTACATCGTGTATCGCTGTATCGTGACGACACGATACAGCGGGTATACAAAATATTCGCAATACAGACCGCATGACACGTAGCACAACACGAACACGAGTACACGACACGGTGAGCTGTGAACGTGCCTTAAAACACTACACAGACTGCCTAATCAGTGCAGCCAGTACAACTAAATTCCAAACACTACACCAGTTTTGAGCTTACGCATTCGGTGTAAACTGCAAATACTTTTAATTGCATCAAGATTCGTGATCAAATCTATCGAAATAGCAAATCAGTCTTATCGTTTGTTTTAAACTATCACTAGTTTTGTATTTTATAATTATAGTAATATAATAATTCATTCTTAACCAGTTTTATTTATTTGTCTATGATTTATATTTCCATTGAACTCGAATTCTAGGTATGCGTATAGATTTCTTCCGACTTGGATTTATTTTGGATGTGAATGAATTTTAGTTATTTCAAAGTGTCTCGTTTAGTTGTAAAGGGTTTCGACTGTACGTTTTTTGTTTACTAATGTATAGCAAACCTAAAAGCTATGTGGCACGAAGCTAGAAAACAAGAAAAAAAAATTCGTGGATTACTGGTAGATTACCAGAGACGAGCCCAGCGACGAAAGGATTACTATGAAAAAATTGTAAGTTTGTTTCAAAAAATTATATCTATATTTTAAAAGAAACGGTTTTAAAAAACTTTTAAACAAATTTCAGAAAGCCGATCCAACACAGTTTTTACAATTACACGGCCGGCAATGTAAAATACATATCGATCCAGGCATTGCCATTGCTGCGAACAGCCCTGCTACTATGTAAGATTTTGTTATTAAAGTTTTCAAAAAGTTAAAAAATCATTATACTACTGTTTTGGTGGTCTGTTCCCAATTTCTGGATTTCCAAAACCACTCTTGATTGTTTACTATGACAAATTGGATTCGTATACAAAATTTTTTTAGTGTCTATAGTTAATTTAGTTTTTATTATTTTTAACTTAATTATTGTCCTATAATTATAATAGGATGCCCTGGCAGGGTAATGAAGAAATAATGATTGATCGATTTGATGCCCGAGCTCATTTAGATTTCATTAGAGAACCTAAAACAGTTGATGAAGATGAAGCAATGTCGTATGATGAACGTCAACTAAATTATGAGCGTTATCGTATTCTTGTTCAAAATGAATTCTTAACGAGTATGATATTTGTAGTAACCATATTGTTAGTTAATTTTAATTGTTTATTTTAAAAATTAGTTTCTGAAAGTAAATTTCTACATCAACTTTTTTTGGAGGAAAAATTTGGCCCTGTAACTAAAACAGATGCAGATGATGCTAAAAAAAAATCTGTTGCCAATGCTGCTATCCCATATAAGTATAGTGATGAAGATACAATACAGACTGATGATTCTAGAAAATATTTGGATATTAAGCCTACTAAAACAGAAGGTTCTGATGAATCTGATGAGGAGAGTGAGGTTGACTTTGGTATGTATCGTTATCTAAATAAATCTATAAATATAAATTTATTCTATTTATTTTTGATTTATAGATTTATCAATTGATGTTAGCAAAATTGGTACTGATCAAGCAAATGAATTGAATTCTACTGCACATAGCTTTGGAATGACTACCAATGATTTTTATAGTTTTCTTAATAATGATTTGGAAGAGGCTGAAAACATTCAATTGGCTCGTTTAGCTGAAGAAGAAAAAGCTATGTTTGCTGTATGTTCTTTAAATAATGCCTACAAATATGGAATCAAATTGTAGTTTTAATTTCTAAAACAATCTCTTATCACTAACCACAAGCTAATTTTATAGACGTAATTTATTACCAATTATTGCCAATTAGATTTTTAAGTAATTCAATTGGTGTAAAATTTTAAAACTACATAAAATCTAGTATGTAAGTTCAGGTTTAGTTCACCAATAACATTACTTCTCTCAAGTGAAATCATAACGTAATCTGCCTACAAACTAGGTACTAGAACAAGGCCGAAAATAATCGGTCTTGGAAACCTTAAATAATTTAGAAACAAGTATCTTTATTAAAAAAAAAAAAAAAAAATATTTAAGAAAGAATTAATATCAGTGAGTACACTATGACTAATGGCTATCTTGTTTGTTAAATAAAAGTTGAATGTTTTTATGCTCCGTGTTGTAATAATTGCATAAATGTGTAATCTATTTATGAAATAATTATATCAGCGATACGGACATATCATACATTGTAAAACTAAAACTAGATGAGAAAATCCATTTTCAGTGTGTTATTATCATTTGCAATAGAGTTATTTATATTCTGTGTTATTATTTCGTCTGTTTTTTCCAGTAGCTAATTAATACTTTAATTTATATTAATGAAACATAGAATATATTCCTATATCTCATTGTAAATCCAAACTTACAATATAAACACCATATTAATTCAATATTACGATCTTTATAATTTTCTAATTTTAATGATTTTGAGTGAAGCAAAGAAGCTATTTTATAAAACATATAAGTTTTATTTTTTTTTTTTTTGGAAAACTTATTCAATCACTGAAGTACCGTGATTTTTTCATATTATACCTTAAAAAGATTTTTCTGGTTAAATTTTATTTAAAAATAATTTGGAAGTTACCATTACTTTCTTCTAAATTTATTTATTTTTTTTTAACAATTAGGCAAATGTTCCAATTTTTCATACAATGTCTCAGAAGACTCATAGTTACTGCCTGATGATACTTAATTTGAAATATTTAACAAACCCTTTTGGCAGTTCACCTAATGGATTCTGTTTTTTTGTATGTGGATTGTTGTTGATTTAATTTACCTTTGTAACAAGGATAAAAACATAACTACAACAATACTACTACACACATAATCGCTTTCATTTGTAATATATTATTGCTGCATACAGTATTCAAAATTAGATTACTCTGTGTATCTTTTCCCAAATACCCACCTATAACAGTGACTTACCTGTGAACAGTATTAACATTTTTTTTCTTCTTTTAATAACTAGTATTTTATAACTAAAGTTTAAGAACTCTTAAAAAATTGAATAACCAGAATCGAAATATACAAAAAGTTCCAGTTCAGTTGTCAAAAAAGGGGGTGTCCAAAGATTACAAATGATTTAAATGCATAAAAAAATACAACATGTTGAGTTATATATATCAAATGACATTTTAATAATAATATAGAATTCACTATTCAGTATAGTATTATATCACAGATATCATAAGCAAAACAAGACCTGTATTAATGATTCAGATATGTAATAATTATACTTAATACAGGTTATATTAATACAAAAAATAGGTACTTAAAATAAGTTAAATGATATTTAATATTCACAGTGAAAATCCAATTGCCATTTTTCCAGTGCTAACACCTATACAATTTTATTAACTGTAACTGACACATCTTTGTGAATATTGAGGAGAGTTAATCTATTTAATTTGTTTTCTGAATTTGTATTTCTTTTAAGATTTGTTTTAAATTGTTGAAATTATAATTTTTAATTACTTAACAAAAAGTTCAATTGAACATTTTTTTTTTTTAAATAAAAACATGTATATGATTCACATGGAGGAAGGATCTAGATCTTCTTTGTTAAGTCATTGTTCTAGACTCTCCTACAAACTATGGTTATTATAAGTTTTTTTTTTTTTTTTTAATCTATTTTCTGCTTACATATTATCATAGGATAATATAATCATTAACTATATTATTTTCAACAATAACATAAATTATACTTATATCTAATTCTTTTAGGGAAGAAGATCAAGAAGAGAACGGCGAGCTTTTCGATTAAAAGCATTGGAAGGCAAAGCATTAAGTCCACTCAGGTATGTACACTTATTATTTTAATATTAATGATAACATTTGTTTTTACATATATAATGAAATATTTTAAATGTATTTAATTTTAGTTATGCAACCAGAAAAAGTCCTAGCTACAATGATTTTGATCAACTATCATCAATGATGACATCCCGATCTCCTACCCCGGAAAACTCAGGCCAAGTGACCTACATTACTAGTTTTGGAGATGAGGAACCAGCACAGAATGAAAAATCTAAAACCAGCTCAAAGTATATCTCTTTAGTTTATAAATATTAATATTTTAGATTCTAAATGGTGTGTGGAATATATTAGTTTTAAGTACTATGATGTGTGGTTTTCTTTTTCGTGTCTGAGTAACTTTTTCTAGAAATCTTGCTCCAGTCAAAACAATTACAAGATATCTTTTTGTGATATTTTTTGATTTACTGAGTAGTTTTAATAATAGGGAGAAAAAAATGCAGACTACAGACAAATTTACAGCAAAAGTATCATTTTATTCAAAATTTTAATTTCCATCAAAAATCTTACTCAGAAATTGAATTGTATCACCCTTTTTGAAAGAAAATTTTGTTAATTTTTTATTTTTTATTCTCCATGTAGTATAACTGAAAATAACTGGAAAGTTTACAGAAATATCAGTTAAATTATTTTTTTGTAGTAATTTGGTTAAAAAAAGAGCTTTTTATAAGTGTGATTAAATTTTCAAATTATTATACTGATCCTCAAGCTTTTAATAACATTTGACATGTTAGAATTTGTTTAGTGTTTATTTAGATTTTATGCGTATAAAATATTTTTAGTTAAAAATATTGATGATTTTACACAAAGTTCATCATAAGATATATTTAGTGTTAAAAAAAATAAATAATTGTAATGCACTAATTTTTTATCCATAAGCATTATTTAAAGTACAACATTTTGATAAAAATCGTAAAAGCATAATATATCTAAACATTTTCAACCAAACTTTGCTCAAAATCATGTTTTGTCAATATTTCATTGCTTATAGATATAAATTAAGTAACTTTGTATATCCTACTTTTCAAACTTCTCATCTACAACAGTGATATACCTTCCAGCAGTAGGTAACAACTTTTTTTTTTTAACATTATTTTAACAAATTTGATTATATTACATTTACTACCCTGTATTCTACAAATATTGTAAATAAAATTTACAAATTATTTTAGTAGATGTTAAATTTTTAATTTATAGATCAAAAAGTACTTCAAAACACCAACACAAAAGAAGACGTTATTCTCGGTCAAAGTCGCCTGTTAGAAAATCAAGATCATCTTCTAAGAGCCATAGTCACCGTCATAATAGATCAAAAAGTTGGAATAAATCACCAACACCATTAAGGTTTTTTAAATTTATTTAATATATAATTATTATAACCTATTAATCATTGTTAGATATGAAGTAATTTGGTTTGGTTTTATTTTGAAATTTACAGAAATAATACACAGTTACCAGTTAATCAAAAAGCTCCACCTGTTCAACGGTAATAATATTTCTAATTATAAGTAATTAATATTAATTATTCATTAGTCATTACTAAAATATTTATCAGTATTATTAAATTATAACATGTATTAAGTAAATATTTGAAGGGTTTTTTTTTTGTTTTTAGATTAAAATTGTAGAATTATAAAAAAAAACTATTAATCATTTACAAAAACAAAAAAAAAGCAATTGAAAATGTTTTATTCCAAAAAGACCTGTTGTCTGTGGGTCTGCTAAATAATTTCTACTCGGCTTAAAGAAATGTCATCATGTTTTAATTTAACTTAATTTCTATTTTAATTTTAACTATTAATTACTTATAAAGAAATGAAAGTAATAAAAAAAAAAAAAAATTAGTTAAGGAATAGTAAATAAACTTCTTCGTGCAATTTTTTATAATGGTCCTGTTACACTAAACTCTTAAACTATTTACTTAAATCATTTATAATTAAACAAATAATTAATAACATTAAAAAAAATAATTATGTAAACAATTTATTTGAAACTAACCTAACTTATTGACACAAAAGTTATTTTTATTGATTAAAATACTTAAAAAATATGATATTGATTTAATTTATTTTATTTTTTCAGATACTATGGTCGCAGAGGAAATGATTCTTCATCAGAACTGAGTATTTCTGATGATGACAGTAAAGATAAAAGTACAAATAGCAATAAACTTCCGTAAGTTGATTTGATTTTTTTATTCCAATACATAATTTTAAATATTCTTTTTATTAATATATTTATAGACTACCAGATCTCAGCATTACTTCTTGCAGCAAAAAAGTCAGTAGTTTGTTAATATATCGCAGACTACATTAGCATGTTGTGAATAAAATAAATCAAAACTAGGGGATTATGCATTTTTAAACTATAAATTAATTTATCATGAATAATCTCTTTAATATTAATATAAGTTTGATGGTTTAGATGTAACTGTTACAAAATATGTTCACAGCAGGGCTCAAGTGACAGCAAACCAACACCACAAGAATTAATGAAAAGAAAAATGAAAGTTTTGCTTAATAAACAATGTCAGTAGTATTAATAGTTCACTTTTTATCAGAAGAAGTCAAACATATTTTGTTCATGATAATATTCAGAAAATTAATACATACATTTAATGGAAATTTGTTTTTGTAAAATATATGTTATTCTTAGATAAAGCTGATAAAAAAGCACAAAGAGAAAGAGAATTAAAACTTGAAAGGGAACAAATTGAAAGAGAAGAAGAGATTAAAGAGTTGTCATTAAAAATGAGAAGGAAGTATGTAGAATAAGTTTCATGTTTGGTTTTACTAATGTTTTATATTTTAGTCTTATTGCAATTATTGTATTTTAGGAGACGCCAGTTACGTCACCCTGAAAATGGGACTTCATTATCTCGATCTAAATCGCGGTCAAAGTCTAGTAGTTCTAGTAGTTCAAGTTCAAGTTCTAGCTATTCCAGGTAGATAATTATTTAATCTATATTTTTTAAACTAAAAAAAAATGGCAAAAATAATTAATTATTTTATTTTTTAAACTAAAAAAATGCCAAAAATAATTAATTATTATTTTATTTTTTAGGTATCGAAGTCGTAGACGTAGATCTAGATCAAGAAGTGGTGGACATCGTAGATCAAAGAGCTTTGATCGACGTCGTCGGTCTAGAAGTGATGACAGAAGAGGAATGAGAAGGAGTGAAGAACGAGAAAGATATAGAAGAGATGAAAGACGTGATTATGATTATCGATCGCGTGGTAGCCCTGAGAGAAGAGATAGAAGGACATACAGAAAAGACAGTCCTATCAGAAAAGAAATTAAACAAAGGGAAAGTCCATTTAGAAAAGAAATAAAACATAGGGAAAGTCCTGTTAGGAGAGAAGTAAAACAAAAGGAATATCCAGATCGTGGTAGAAGGGAGAATTTTGAAACTCGTCAAACTCCTAAAATAACTTATGAAGCAAGTCCAAAACGTTATGTGTCAAATACCAAAGTACAATCAAATTTAAAGTGAGTAATGTATTTAGTGATTAATTATCTTAACTTCGTTCAACATATTTTTGATTGGAAGTAAGGAAACTGATTTAAACATTAATAATTATACAATATTAGAATTAATAAAATTAGTTTTTCTTAAAATTTACAATGTGTATAAATATGTGATGTTCTATGTGTAGCTAAAATAGATTATTAGGTAGTTTTATTAAACAATTATAGTAATAAGAATGACACTTTCTAAACTTGTGCTTAGAATATATAACTTTTAAAGGCTGTATTTTTTAACTGGATTCATAGTCATAATTTTGTTCAATACATTCAAATCAGTAATTATATGGTGCCAAATTTTTTCGAAAAACTAAAAATGATAACTATGCATCTCTTTCACATTGTGTCTAACAAATAATTTTATTGGGTGTTTAGATTAAAGTTAAACAACAAATACAATATTATACAGACAGTATGTAGTATCAATTTACATACAACAATCTAAATATTTGTTTAAATTCAATTGATTAAAATGATATATTATATACTGTTAAATAAAATATAAATATGTGTAATCTTACGATAATAAATAATCATCGATCCTAATTTGTTTCATAAAATCAAACCGTTAAAATTATGTTAATACAAATTTATTATTTAATTATGATTTGTTTATTTTTTGTTTTATACATAAATAATAATTTTTGTTTTAGGTTAATACATTTTTTTTTATAAAATAACAATAAGTACCTATTTTTCGTTATTTTTATTAATAGTTAAAAAATTATTCACCAAAATATTTGTTTTTTTTTTTTTTTTGCAATCCACTAATTATAATATCATTTATAATAATTTTTATTTCCGATTTTTTCAGGCCACTTGTTGATTATGAATGAATGCTGGAAAGAAGTTCAAAGCCTATCGTGATTTAAAATAAATCAGAATAATTCTACTTGTAAAATATTAGTATACTTTATTATATTAAGCAATAATAACCATTTTTAATGTTATGAATATCTTTTATAAATGTACCTTTAATTTAATTATTACTAAGATATTTTTTTTTTTTTTTTAATAAAACATTAAAAGTTTAATATTCCTGGAATCAAATGCAGTAAGTTAATTGTGTCAAATTAAGAGAACATTTTCATTGGATACTACAAAAAAAAGCTCTTTTCACTAATAATATATAAGTATCAATAGTTAACAAATATTACAGTAATATTTTCAAGGTTTATATTTAATATAAACATATAAAACAATTTACTGAAACAAATTTAAATATTTAATTTTAAAATATACAGTTTGTATTACTATAATATTAATTATAGCTTAAAATTGAAGACCTTATAAATACAAATTCACCGAAAATAACAGATTTGAGTTCAATGAGAATTTAAAACAATAGTCATCCAATTTTATTAATATACTTTTATTAACCCCAAATGTGTATAAGTACACCATACAATTAAAGTAAAACAATGAATAATAATTTAATATGTATACATAATAATAATAATATTATGTAACCCATAAAAAATAATAAAAAAGTACAAAAGTAAACATAATATTAGGCTGTACAAACATGCGAATGATATGTTATCCTCCTAACTGTGTCCAATTGTAGGATACAGGCGGATATGCAGTGTGGTTATCGTCTTGACTACCATTGTAAATCGGTACGCATTTCTTATGATTAACTTGAGGTTTGGCAAAGTAACATGCTGTGCATTGACATCGAGTTGTCGTTTCTCTTTGGCCTCCATACTGGGCCAACCAATTGTCTGTAGTTGTTGTCGAGTAATTACCATTATTATTAAAATTGGAGTTATTACTTTCTGTGTTAAAAAAATTATATATTTACAAATTTTATCCAATGAACTAAATAATCTGTGTACAATTCTTACCATATCCTAGTACAGACGGATAAACTTCTTGTTCTCTTTTATCTACTTCTTCGGTTTTGACTTTAGTGTCTTTAAATGCCTTGGCAAATGGATTATATTTTATTTTGAGTTTAGTTACCTAAAGGAATATTTTCATTATGTATTTATTTGAAATGTAAATTCCAAAATCATAATATTGGTCTCTAGTAAACTATATATAATATTTGTTGACGCACAAAATTTTACTTTAAAAGGTGTTAAAATATTTGAAAATAATTCAATACTTGTGGAAATATTTATTTTTTAAATTCTTAAAAATTATAGTATGATTGCACATTATGACATCCATTGTGAATTAAATTGTACATTACAATAATATTATGTTGATTTGTGTACATAATGTTATTTTTTATCACCCTTATTTTTGTGTAGTGTAACCATTGCCTATTTTCGAATTTCAAATATCAACCAATACAGAATGTCCCACGAATATAAATAATACAATATAATATAATCATTGTGATATCTTGTAAAATATTAATTTTTTTGGATTTTTTTTTTTTTGATAATTAAGGAACACCGCTTCAAAATATTACATTTCGTATTTTTTTCGGTGGATCACGGTTTAAACTTGGCGCACAATGTCACACATGCTCCACTACTTCCCCTATCCAAAATTCAAAGCGAAATATCTTGTCAAAAGGTTAACGAAAATCAACAATTTCAACATCAAAATGTATTAAATACATTTTTAGTAAAATTTTTATATTAATACTCCATCTAAATATGGAATTTTTAATCCGTATCTATAGGCTGCCATTCAATAATTAAAAATGTGCTAGTTAACCATTTCCTAAAAATAAGGATGACAAAAATAACGGTACCTAATATTGGTAACATTTTAAAGCCACTTGTTTTATGAACTGTCTAAAAGAAGTTAATAGGTACTTTTTGAGATTAAATGAAGAGTGATGACTCTGTTTAGTACCTATATAAATGTATCCTGTGCCAGTAAACTTATAAGTTATAATATTCTGTTATAGTTGTTAAATAGTTTATGGTAGGTAAATGAAATTCACTGACGGTGGCTGTTGTGTATAGGTACATACCTCTTCATTTTGATATGCCGTAACTGCCATAAATCTAGTCTGCGGCATCGAAAACATTTGAACATCATTCGGATCGCCTACTTTGACTATGTGTAATTTGGTCTCGTATTGGTGCAACGAATTCAAGTGAGTCTGCAAAATACCATATTGATTTTTAATCTATAGTTTTAGCATTTATGAACCATAGGTTGGTTTACTTCCAATATTGAAAATTAGGCAATAAATTGAGTATACATAATATTATATTACGTAGATATTGATATTTTATAATATTATTAGAATCGCTTTTGGTTTTATACATACCTGTCCAGGGTTATCCGGCCTGTTAGTGAGTTTGATTTTAGCGAATGAAATTGGCTGTTCCATCCAATGTTTGCCAAAGTTTGGCGACTCCGGATGTTTGTAAAAAGGATTTTTCGTGGCCGGGTCCGATGTAGTGGTCGGAGACCATTCGCTATTTATATATTTCCATCTTTGTCCGACCACTTGCACAAATTCCAAAAATACAGTGTACATATCTCCCGGAATCAACCCAGTGACTTGGGTTTTGATCACTGGAAACATTCGCCTATACAAAATGGAACATAACAGTTAAGACTTAATAGTTTTTAAATTATTTTACAAATTAATAGTCGTACCTATAACATTTTAAACACAGGGAAGAACTGTTGACTAATTTATTAAAACTACATATATATATATATAGATACCTACCTAGTACCTACTTAATATTAAAACTTTTATAGTTTTTACAGTTTATTTTAACAGTATACCTTACCTATTTTTGTTTGAATATCACTCAGATACTACCAGAAAGTATTATAAAAAAATACGGACATATTTTCGCACGTTGGGTGTGCCACTGTTGTAAATTAGAAGTTTAGAAGGAAGGACATTGAGAGGAATATAATTTATATATTTACGCGACGATAAACCATTCAGGGGCGTAATTACGGAGGGATCTTTGGGATACATCCCTCCCTAAGCCGTATTAATATAGGATATTGTTGTTTTATATAAACTGAAAGGTCAAATGCAAAATTTCAAGATTATTACGAAATAAAAAAAATGTTAAGTGTTCAATTGTATTAGTAGGTACCAAAGTATTATTCGTAGTTTTTTATTGTACTAGTGGGTAAGCATATGCTCGATATTTGATGTTAGAATAAACGGTAAATTTCACTTTAAACTGCAACGCGATTCGGACGTCGCGAAATTAAAAACGGAGACGCGCCATTTAACAGGAAATGTCAGTAATTACAGATAATGACTCGAGTATGAAACGTTTAACTAAATACAAGTAAATCAAGCAAATCTATGACAATATGTACAGGGTCGGATTAGACTTGTGATTTTAAGTTGGCCAAGATTCCTACAATAACTAAGGTCGTCAGCAAAAGACCAATTGAAAGGCAACGACAAGCCTATAGGTCTGAGTGATGGGGGCGTTAGCAGAGAGATATCTCGGTGACGGGGCGCTGAAACGAATTAGGTTAAGAGCCGCTGGAATAGCCGCTCGCCCGCCCATTTTAAATCCGAAACTGACACTACTGCCGGGAGGACATTGTCTATAGTGTCTTAGACGTAAGTCCGCACGTCGCCAACGTTCGCGAAATTTCGCTGAAATTCGAAATATTATTTTGTTTGTCAGATTTGCGCATTCCGGACTCGTACATTCCGGGTCTGTACGCACTGTCCCACACATTATACTATTATGTAAATAATGATACTTAGGTATTTTGAAACTGTTCGTGGGCCTAAGGTACCACTCGAAATATAATAATTAATAATAAATTACCTAATTATCTGTGCTTACATAAGTTCTGCGGTTCCTGCATAAACACTATGCGATTATACAACGTGCATATTGTATGTTTAATGCAAAATCATATAGACACGGATGAACGTAATGGGTATGGTTATTAGTTAATGACTGTTATTGTCTGAGCTAAGTGACGGTTTTTGATACAGTTGAATTATGCCTGCGCACCAGGTATAGGTGCCGGCCACGCATATTCGGCTACTCTATTAATAATGGATTATCGCGAGATAGTATTTTTGGGCCGATTTTACCTATTACGTGTAATTTTGCGCCACCGCCGGGTACATTGAAGTGTATGCGTATTTTGCGCCACGTGTAAAAATTAATTTTAACGATTTGTGTCGCGGCAGAAAACGAAACGAAACGCGTAATCCGCGTCACACTTCGTACTTCGAATCAAATAATGTGTCTATCCACAACAATATTACAAAACCGTTTATCGGTACAAAACTCATCGCCCAGTTTATCGAAAAGTCGTTCGTAATATTGTTATGGATAGGCACACTGTTTGATTTTCGTTGACAACAGTAATTACAGGAATAGGTACTTGCCTAATAGTACAATACACGTACCAAACACGATAATCTAAACTAACTGTCGGACGAAATTCATAAAAAAAATAAATATAGATTTATAGTTTAAAAAATTATAAAATTAGCTACATGTATTCTGACGGCTCTGGATCAGCGGTTCCCAACCTGGAAAACGAGTTGGAAACGGAATTTTCCGGGCGGTAACGACGAGACCAATTTTAGATTCGGAGCGTAACGAAGGACCTATTGGTTTCACGGTGGCGTGTGTGTTTATGTTTTTTTCCCACCAGAAATCTCATTCCGATTTACATCCATAATGACGGTAAAAATAATGAGTGTGTGTGCTGGCGAATATTTTTGTTATCCGAATTGTAAAAACGAAAACGACAATATCAGACAATCCGCATTGCGCGTACCTTCCTTTTTTCAGTTTTTCCCGGCTTACCCAAATTGTTAAGAAAACTATGAGAACAATCGAAAATTGACCGCCCGAATCCACCGACCAGACACAATTTTCCACCAGAAGCCGCCCCAAAATTTAATGATAGGAGCGAGATTTGCGGTTGAAAAGTTGTTTGAGTCGTTTGAGAAAAATAGCTGATACTGATGATGGGAGTGTGTTAAACTGTTGTCGGTGGGAAGCGCAGAAGACAAGTTACATAGAGATATTTAATTTAAATCTGTACGCAACGATAAATCATTGCTAACGAAAAACGATTCGGAGCGAAGTTCGGTTATACATGTTTTGAAAGGCCGTAATATTTACGGTTTTCGTCAAAATTTAAATTCTTGTTAAAAAACAAAAATTTACGTTAAATTTATTTTATTTTTTTACCAAAATAACGACTTATAATGAACTTCCTGTTGAATTTTCAAGCATTTCAATGAAGTCCAACAGTAATAGGTACCTACTAAATAAACTTACGTAAAACACTCGCAAAATTAAAATATCTATAAATAGCTCAAAAATGGCTCAAATGTTTTGAAAATTTGACTACGTTTAGAAAAGGCAAATACAAGTTTTTTGCCCAAATGTCGTCTTTTTTTCTGTCCGTAAACAATTTTTCTACCAGAAATCTTGCTTCAACGTATAGAGTGTAGTAATTTTTCTAAAAGGAAATTTTCTCTAGTTGGCAGAGAGACTGTATTTAATTTTCCATATGGTTTTCAAAATAATTGGAAAAAACCGGAAAGAGCAATTTAGGTAAAACGGCAAATATTTACGGCGCACAATGGGAGAAATTGATATTTAAAAGGACCATACAACAAAAAAAAAATCATATTTTTTTTATTACGTATTATTATTATTACAAATACCCAACTATTATTAAAACAATAATATTATCCATTTCCAATACTAAATCAATTTAAACCGTTAACAATGTTTGTATACATACTTGTAAGTTAATAAATAATAATGATTAGTACGTAATAAAATACATTGTTCTGTTACAGCCACATGAACCGGATATTATTCGTCTTAAATGCATAATATAGGTAACATGGTATCGTAGTGCGAACGGTGACACCCGATTGGTAACAGACACGTGTATAGGTACATCGCAGCCGTGAGTAGGATTTTAGACGTCACGCGTGAATTTAATAACGCCGTAAACTCGATAACCATTTAACGCGGACAAATATTATTGGCGTCATTTGTTTTTTATTCAGATTTTTTGTGATTTTTTAAATAAAAGTCCATTTTGAGTGTTTTGTAGTCATTTGAGTGGAGAAAACCTAATAAATTTGATATCGCCATAATGTGTAATAAACCAGATAATACTAATTTTGATGTTGCGTAAAAATAAAAAATAAAAAAAATCCCATCTTATTATCTACGGCGTTACCACAAACACGGTTTAAGTTCATATTCTCGATAGTATCGCAATTATGAATAATGTGGAATTTTCAGAAATTTTATATTCATTTATTTCCAGTTTTTTCCCAGAACTAACTATAGAGAGAACAAAATGGCTTCTCGTCAACAAGGTAAGCTTGTACTTTATAACTATTATAGTTTTTAATTACACAAATTCAGGTGTAACAAAATATAATGTTGAATAAATTTAGATAGTTTAAAACTTAAACATTATTAGTATGTAAAAAAAAAAGGGGGGAACTAGGGGCAGTACAATCGATACATACAACTGTACAACCATACATATTATTTCGTAAAATAAAAATTTTGTTCGACACTAATTGCCTTAAATATCTTAAATCTTATTTTATTTATAATTTTTTAACACGCTTTTACTAGTTTCACCTGTATGTTTCTATGTAATGGAAACTTTAAACGTAATTTTCACTCACTTTAAAAGATCATGTTTAATTGAAACTTTGCACACTTATCAAGGACTAATAATGCAATAATTTAATAATATTGTCCTATTAACCTGAACAGTATCGTCAAGAATAAGGATTTGCTAAAAAAAATAAAAAACGAATGAATTATATAAATATATATATAATTACATAAATCGACGAAATAATATTCATTTTTAAATTATTTACGAGAATTCGAATGAAAAAATAGTATACGTTTCTAAAAGTGTTTTATATTCTATTGGGAACCATACAGAGGCAGATCTTTTAAAACAGTCGACAGAAAATTCTCCAACCAGAGCATCCTCGACGTTTTTCATTTACTACCGATATCATCCGATCCATTAATTACTTTTAAAAGTTCTATTAAACAAATAGTACCAAAACGATTATGTTCCGAGGCTGTGAGTTGGTTAAAAAAAAAGTAATGTTCGAAAATGTTACGACTGAAGATAGGTTTATTCATAAAGGTAAAAAAAGGCTATAAATGTGCACCTTTATTCTTTAATTGTATTATCTTTTATATTTCATAAGAGTACAGTGAATTAAAAATAAATATACATACCTAATATAAATTGTATATTGTACGGTTAAATTTGAAAAAATACTAATACACATTGGCAACAATTACTTTGTGTTTTTCTAGGTATTTAGATGAAGCGTTATTTTTTTTTTCCTATTTTCATTAACAAATGAAAAGGAAAAAAAATATTCCCTTAAATATCAATTTCTCACACTGTGCGGGCGTTACCGATTTCATTGTTTTCAATATTTGTAAACTATGTTTTATACCAGAAATAATGCTCCAACCGAAAATTAACGCGAGATCGATTTCGTTCCTTCTAATATAATAGCCACCGTCGAAGAAAGTCTTTTTTTTATATCCAAAGTTAGTTTTCATAATAGTCCTATCCTAATAATTTTGTCTTGTTTGTGAGTAATAAAGTCGTTGTTTTTGATTTTCCGTATATTTTTCCTTGTAATTACGAAAAACCGGGTAAAAACGTAGGAAATACGGCGAAATGTACGGCATTTGAGTTTTTTGTTGTTATTCGGTCAAAAATTACCGTAGAGACTTGTAGTTTTCACAAAATACTTAAAATGGCGTTTTGTAGTAGACGTGGTAAAATGTTCAAAACATTCTAGCCGTTTTTAGGTTTTTTATTGGTATTTGATATTTTCGTGTTTTTATATGACTTATTTTTATTCGTTAGGTACCTATGTGTTATAAAAATTATGCGACTTACGAAAAATGTTTGAAAATTTAACACGACGTACCTAAATTATAAGTTTAACTATTTTTGTTGTACAGTGTTCGTCCATCGACAACTTGTTTAAACAACCGAAAAATCCTGTACATCGGGCAATCAGATTAGATGACAGTTATTTAATTAATACAAAATCTACAATATTCATTTGACGGTTTGCGACCGTCAGTTAATTGTTCACTGTTCGTTATTGGTGTTTGTACTTGTCGGTGCCATGTCCACTACCTAACTATCGGCCGGTATACCGCCGATTGAAAACATTATTAATTTTTTTGGTTCTTAAACTAAAATTTTTAACTTTTTGACGGATACTTGCTAATATCTATAACCCGATTAACGGGTAATAGTCTCAAAAAGGTCGGGAACCACTGCGGCAATACGGACCGTATTGTAGAATTTGAATTGGTAGGTGACTGTTTTCATAAAAGTTCCCGCAACAATCAAACTTTTTGTTTTATTAGATATAGTTTTCTACTTACCCACCTGTATACACAATTTCGCTAATTCGATACGAGACAGTGAATATAATTATGTTGACCGCACACAAATATTGCCTTTAAAAACTATTTTCTTCGGAAAAAAATTGTTATTCTAGTGAATTCTTACAAGGTACCGTATAGGTGTGTGGTCTGCGAACGCGATTACAAAATTATTGCCTACGCGTGTTCTTTCTAATACAACCGATCCCGTTTATATTATTGTGCGGGATAAAGGCGAACGCGGCGACATTAAATACTATGTCAAGTCTACTATTACGCATGCATTTCGAACAAACTCAAAATGCGTAAATTAACGTTCAGACAGTCGAACGCGTGTGACCCGAAAACGTTTGAAACGTTTGAAAATATTCGCTTCGATCGCTGCGAGAACAGGTACTTTCGGGGGGGGGGGGCGTATTTGAACACGAAATTTTCCGGTGGAGAAAAAAAAAAAATAAAAATATCGCTAAACGCAATCAATGTACAATACAAAACGGACGCTCACCTTCCGGTTTTCGTGACGATCATTTCGTTGTTGATGGCTAAAAACTCGGACCAAAGCTGAGCGTCCAGCAATCTCGCTCGCACCGGTTGCCCTTTGACCCACGTCTGCAGGTTCTGTAGTTCGGAAGATGTCATTTCACAGACGTATCGTATATATTGTCGTTATTCGTTTTTCCCCGTCGTCTCCGTTCCAGTATTATTATTATTATTGTTGTTGTTGTTGTTGTTGTTGTTTTTGTTATTATTCGTCTCTTGTTCTCCTCTGACGGTAATACGGATATTATACGAAAACGCGCCGGCAATCGGAACGGAAAATTATTCAATACACGAAAACACAATTAACATATGCGGTGTAACGCGCGCGCGATATTTTACGTTTCTCACATTGGTGTCGTCTCGTTCACACCTGAGTGCTCAGTGACCGGGCGCGCGGGTAAATTTTTTTTTTTTAGAAATTTCCGAACCGCCCGGGAACCCACACCCGGGAATCGGCGGGACCGCTCGCGCGGCGGCCGGCCGGCCGTCCGGCGACCGCGACGGGGGCGGGGACTGTTTCCGATTTTATTGCACCCGTTACGCGGCGGCCGCCGCCGCGCGCGTAGGCATTGGGTGGTGTTATACGACCGCGCGGCCGGTACCCACCGCGGCTATTAGGTGGTACCCCCGGCGTACCAATAACAACGTTGTAAAACGGCGCACCGTCCGTTTTATTGTTGTGTGAAAAGACGCGCGCGCTATTATTGTGGCCCGTTCCGACGCGGCACCGCGGCCGCGGCCGGCGTCGCGGTCCTTCGGGCCCGTCGCCGCCGTCAATTCACACCTGGGCGTCACGGCGTTTTGGCGTGCGCCGACGCCGCGGTGTTCGGAAATTAACACGTACGTAATAATTTCCGTCCACAGCGGTCCGTGGCTCTCGGACGAACGCCGTCCGCTCGTGCGCTTTGACGAAACCCCGTCCCGCGGCCCGCAGCGTGTATTGTCGACGTTATTAATATCGCGCGGAAACATCATTAATTATTATTGACGAAGACGGTACACTAGTTCGGCGGCGTGCCGATAGCGCGGCGGCATGACGGGCGATCAGCCGCGGGCCCGTTGAGTACGGGGTCCGCGGGTCGAAATCCGGACGGCGAAAATCCCGAAACGGCCGAAATACGTACCGTGTACAATATTAAATTCGTGGGCGACGATTAAATCGTTGTTAACGGAATGCGTCCACTGCAGAACGGAGTTCGGTTAAACATGTTTTGAAACGCCGCGATTTTCGTCATAATTGAAATTTATAATCCTTTAAAAAAAAAATTATTATACTGCGTTGATCTGAACGTTTTTTTCTTTTTTTCTGAACAAATACGACTTACGATAAACTTCGTGTTAAATGTTTAAACATTTCTGCTCGGCCAATACAATTTTATCCGCGCAAAATCAAAACAACTCGAAAATATCAAATTTCAAATGTTTATGATGTAAACGACAAAAAAGTGGCCAGAACGTATTGAAAATCGTGTAACGTTTTTGATAATGGCCAATGTAAATATTCCGTCGAAATGCCGTGTCTTACGATTATTTTTAATCGAATTCCGACAGAAAAAAAAAAAAAAAAAACAACAAATCGAAAATAATGAAACCATTAATGCCGTAAACTTTACCGTGTAATTGTAATTAAAAATAACAAAAACAAAGAATATGACGTATTATCGTTTCGCTTGCCTACTAATTTAGAAGAATATAGTTCGGCGGAGTCATGGACAGAAGACATATATACGTATATATCAATATTTTTTAGATTCTGAGTTGTGCTATGAAGCTTATGGTTTTATAAAGATGTTTATTTTATTTTTTCTGTGGACATTTTTTTCTACCAGCAATTTTGCTCCGATTTATAATGATAGCACTTTTTTTTAAAAGAAATCTGATTGGAGAGATACTTTAAGGACGTAATTTTTCGATTTTCCCAATAAATGGGAAAAACGTAGGAAAAACGGGAAAATAGGTACAATTTCAAACAAATATTATTAAAGAAAATATTTAATGCCTATGTAATTATTTCACTATAATATGAAATGTATATTGTTAACAAAGAAACACTATCAACTGAACTTCGCTCAGAATCGTTTTTCGTTAGCAATGGTTCATCGTTGCTTACAAATGTACAATACATTTCTCCTCTAATACCTCCCCAACTTCTCACTTACAACAGTGGCCCTCCCGTGTGCGAAGTATATCCGTCTTTTGTAATACATACCAGTGTACCTAAGTCCGGATTAAGATAATTTTGGGCCTGGGGCCGAACAATTTTAGGGGTCCGTAAGCATATTCAAAATATTGGTGTTTATACAGTACTAGTAGCCAAGGCCAGGGGCCCACAATATTACCACAATATTGCCAGATGGGGCCATGGCCCCATCTGGCACCCTTTTAATTCGGGCATGAGTGTGCCACAGTATATTTATGTACACGGTTCATAACTGCAGGTTGTATATTATGTGTACAAACTTTTAAGAACGTATTGACACTTACAGCGTACAAAACCTATGAAGACACTTACAGATACGACGAAGTTTGTAAGTATAAGGGGGAATACGGGATGGTATTATTGAAGAAACCGTTGAATATTATGTTTTAGACGGGGAAATATCGGTGGGGAAAACGGTGGCGGTCGACGAGGAAATATCTTACGGGGACGTGACCCGTTGCCGTTCAGTGTACGCCGATATCGTATTGTCATATTGACTCATGAGACGATTTTGAATTCAGCCGGTGGTCCGGATTTCCTAAAATGCACAGAAATAGAATATAATATATTCAATTTAAACGATTTGCGTTATTGGGGTTTTTTTTTTTTTTTTTTCACTTTTCGACGACGTTGTTGCGAACAGGGGGGCAATGTATCCGAAAAGATATCCCTGTAAATCAATAATGCACCGAAGGATTCAACCTCTCGAATTATTTTTTTGAACACATTCGATTATTTTCTAATCGCGCGTAGTATACAGACTATATTATAATATTGTAATAATATAATTCAGTCTAATATTTAATTACGTGTACTATTAATTACAGTCCACGCATCGGCACAGTTTAATACGTCAATGCGCAGCTATTACACGCAAAAATGTATAAAAATCAACAATGTCGCAACCGATATTTAATGTCTATTATTCGATATATTCTCGGAATTTGGAAATGGTTTCTGGGCACATTAAAATACGAGGTACCTATATAATATTATTATGTACACTTGCATCAATTACAATAATTGCACGAACGCGTACATTTTCCCCGCTCTACAACGATTATCGATTTCCCCGTGTCATCTTATATTGATCAGGTACCGTTTCCTACACGGGTTATGATAGGGGAGTACTGATGGACCTCGCGACACCATTTTTTTTTAACGGGCAAGTATATCTGCGTGCATAATAATAGAATTTTATTATGTTTGCTTCGGTATTTAATTTTTATTCCTAAACACAAGCGGGCAATAAAATATTATACATTCTGTATTTTGTAACATATATTATATGTGTGTACGCTGTACATTAGCTGCTGGCTAGGTAAAATATTCAAGCTCGTGAATAAACAATTAACAGTCATCAATGTAATAAGTGCCTGTATACATATATATTCACAATTCACTTATTATTATAAATTCTTGCCGAAAAACATGTTAATTGGGTTTACTGTTAGGTAAAAACGTATTTTCAAAGATTATATAAGAACATTCACGACTACTATAAATGAGTATACCTAGTCAGCCGTGCCTATTTGCCTACTCTCCTCACACCTATTTTGCAAGGCTTAAATAAAAAAAAAAAAAAAAATGAAAATTGGGAAGGAAGAGGGGAAATTTAATGTATATCTATCTCAGTGTAGTGATCTGGCTCCCGATCTCTTCAATATCTTTACGTCGGATATTTCCCAAACCGAAAACACCATTTTAGCCACTTATGCCGACGACACAGCAATACTATCATCCAATTATGATCCCGCTGAAGCCTGTCTCGCTCTACAACTCCATTTAAACCTAATCGATAACTGGTCACTCAAATGGAAAATAAAAATAAACGCCGATAAGTTCATACATGTTCCTTTCACCCTTAACAAAAAAAACTCACCAGCCCTAATATTTCAGGAAGCTTCTATTCCTTCACAGTCACATGTCAAATACCTTGGTATAGTTTTAGATAAAAGACTCACCTGGGGCCCCCATCTTAAAGCAAAACGAAAATAACTAAATTCTAGACTACACCTATTACGTCTAATTCTCAAATATAATCTTCCACTGAAAAACAAATTATTAATATATAAATCTATGATTAGACCCGTTTAGGCATATGGTGCTCAGATCTGGAGATGTGCCAAGCCAACCCAATTAAAAACTATCCAATCATTCCAATCTATTTGCCTACGCCAAATAACTTCTGCTCCTTGGTTCGTCAACAACCATTCTCTTCATAAAGACTCAAATATCGAGACAGTCGAAAACCTAATCATAGCACACTATAAAAAATTCCACTCCAGATTATCTCTCCATACCAACCCACTTGTTTCAAACCAGTACTCTTTTACGCTTCCGGACGACCCTCCACGTCGTCTCAAGAGACGCTGGTGCCGTGATCTCCTGATCTAGTCACTTAACCCAAATTAAATAAAAGGGACCTATTATTGGATGGCTTCCCTTATCACGTGATCATGTTTGTTATGTACTATTATGTTGTTTTGCGAATTTTCTTATTGTGCAAAGATTGCATAGATTGTAAATGTTATAAAAAAAAAAAAAAATGTATATCTGTATTCAACGATTAAACATTGGGAACGAAAACGATCCGGAATGGAGTTTGGTCGCACATGTTTTGAAAGGCCGTAATATTTACGATTTGAAAATAAAATACACTTTGTAAATTTCCGTTTATCCTACATTTTTTCTGAGTTTTTCCCAGTTATTACCAAAACTGCTTGGAAAATCAAAAAAATTACATTCTTAAATTACCACCCTTGCTAGATTTCCTTTAAGAAATTGTACTACACTTGAAAATAGGAGCAAGATTTTTGGTAGAAAAATTGTTCACGGGCAGAAAAAAAACACATCATAGTAAAATCAACAGATTCCACGATACGCTCCGTCGCTCCAAATCTAAAAACTAAAAATATTAAAAGCTATATTCCGTAAGTTTTCTGTTCTACGTTTTAAGACGAGCTTGGTAAAACAAAATTTTATTTTTCTCAAACAATGCTAATAAAATAAGGTAAATTAAATGTATTGATTAGAATTCTATGTAGTAAATATTAATTATAGTTATGGTACGTATAGAAAGAATAGGCAGTCCCTAATATTGATAACTGATTGCAACACTCGAATTACAGACTGAAGTATCTACCTGTGCAAAATAGGTAAA